TGTAGTAAGCATGTTTGTGTGCGTCAGTGAGCATGTCTGTAATAAGCATGTATGTGTGTCAGTGAGCATGTCTGTAATAAGCATGTATGTGTGTCAGTGAGCATGTCTGTAATAAGCATGTATGTGTGTCAGTGAGCATGTCTGTAATAAGCATGTATGTGTGTCAGTGAGTATGTCTGTAGTAAGCATGTATGTGTGTGTCAGTGAGCATGTCTGTAGTAAGCATGTATGTGTGTATCAGTGAGCATGTCTGTAGTAAGCATGTATGTGTGTATCAGTGAGCACTTCTGTAGTAAGCATGTATGTGTGTATCAGTGAGCACTTCTGTAGTAAGCATGTATGTGTGGGTCAGTGAGCATGTCTGTAGTAAGCATGTATGTGTGCGTCAGTGAGCATGTCTGTAGTAAGCATGTATGTGTGTCAGTGAGCATGTCTGTAGTAAGCATGTATATGTGTGTCAGTGAGCATGTCTGTAATGAGCATGTATTTGTCAGTGAGCATGTCTGTAGTAAGCATGTATTTGTCAGTGAGCATGTCTGTAGTAAGCATGTATGTGTGTGTCAGTGAGCATGTCTGTAGTAAGCATGTATGTGTGTCAGTGAGCATGTCTGTAGTAAGCATGTATATGTGTGTCAGTGAGCATGTCTGTAATGAGCATGTATTTGTCAGTGAGCATGTCTGTAGTAAGCATGTATTTGTCAGTGAGCATGTCTGTAGTAAGCATGTATATGTCAGTTAGCACGTCTGTAGTAAGCATGTATGTGTCAGTTAGCACGTCTGTAGTAAGCATGTATGTGTCAGTTAGCACGTCTGTAGAAAGCATGTGTGTGTGTCAGTGAGCGCATCTGTAGTGAGCATGTATGTGTGTCAGTGAGCATGTCTGTATTAAGCATGTAAGTGTGTCAGTAAACATGTATGTAGTGAGCATGTATGTGTCAGTGAGCATGTCTGTAGTGAGCATGTATGGGTCAGTGAGCACGTCTGTTGTGAGCATGTCTGTGTCAGTGAGCATGTCTGTAGTAAGCATGTATGTGTGTGTCAGTGAGCATGTCTGTAGTAAGCATGTATGTGTGTGTCAGTGAGCATGTCTGTAGTAAGCATGTGTCAGTGAGCAGGTTTATGTCAGTGGGCTTGTAATGAGCATGTGTGTGTCAGTGAGCATGTGTGTGTCATTGAGCTTCTCTGTAGTGAGCATGTGTGTCAGTGAGCTTCTCTGTAGTGAGCATGTGTGTCATTAAGCTTGTCTGTAGTGACGTGTGTCAGTGAGCTTGTCTCTAGTAAGCATCTTTGTGTATACCAGTGAGTTTGTCTGTAGTAAGCTTGTGTTTGTGTGTGTCAGAGAGTTTGTTTGTACTAAGTTAGTGTGTACCTGTAAGCTTGTCTGCGTTTGTCAATTATCTTGTGTGTGTCGGTGAGATTGCCTGTCTGTGAGCCTGTGTATCAGTGAACAATGCTTGTGTCAATGAGATTGTCTGTGCCTGCATGTGAGTATGCTTATTTTTACCAATATTTATAATTAAAAAAGGAACATACCAATAATAAAAGTATGTATTTATATATCTTTTAATGAGAATGTTAAATATCCCTTTATAACATTTAAAACATGGCTACGTCTTGCTACCTCAGATTAAGTAATTCTAATTCATAAAAAAAATTTTTATATTATAATATATATATATATATAATATCTATGGGGAAAAAAAATGTTTGCCAGCCCTAATGTGCCACAGTAGTGTGTGTGTGTATATATACACACACACACTCTACCGTGTCACAGTGGCTTATGGGGCTGGCATACATTTTTTTTCCAGGGCTGCTTTGCATTCCCAGTCTGGCCCTGGTGGAGAGGGCGTAATCCAGATTGAAGAGGATCAAGGAGAGAGTTGGAATTGAGACACATGGTCAAAGACAAGTCTTTCCAGAAGTTTTGAGGAAAAAGGGAGCAGGGATATCGGATGATAGTTAGAGAGGGAGGACGGGTCAAGAGATTTTTTTTTTTTCAGGATAGGTACTATAGTGGCATGTTTAAGGTCAGCAGGGACAGTACCAGAAGAGAGAGAGCAATTGAATATGTGCACAAGACAAGGGGAGAGAGATCTGATAAGGTGAGATGGGTCAGGATCGAGCGGACAAGTGGTGGGGCGAGAGGAAAGGAGAAGCACAGCCACCTCTTGTTCAGTAGCCAGGGAGAAAGTCTGAAGGGTAGGAAAGGCATGATCTACGTGTTGAGAAAGAGAACGGCAAGGTGGGGAGAATTCTTTCCTTAACTGTTCAATCTTGTCGGTAAAGTAGCATGCAAAGCTATCGCTGTAAGATTAGTTTGAGGGTGGCCACAGCAGGGCGAAGAAGAGAGTTAAAGATGTCAAAGAGACGCCTGGGATTGTGGGAGGATGAACTAATGAGAGAAATAAAGTATGACTGTTTGGTGAGGACAAGGGCTGCGCTGTATGGACACAATATGAATTTATAATGGAGAAAGTCTGACAGGGTGCGAGACTTCCTCCAGGAGTGTTCAGCACAACGGGAGCAACTTTGCAGGTAGTGTGTTGATTTAGTATTCCACGGCTGGGGGCGTGTCCTCCTCGAGGTGCATGTTTGGAGCAGGGCTGCAGCGTTCAAGGCAGAGGTGAGAGTAGTGTTATATGTGGAGATGGCCAGTGAGGGACAGGAGAGGGAAGGGATGGATAGCAGTTGTGAATCAATATCAGCGGACAACTGCTGGAGGTCAATAGAATTTAGGTTCCTCCTGAGTTGAGGGGGGTTAGGCTGAGGGTGTACTTGAGAGCAAAACGATAAGAGGTGGTGATCAGAAAGAGGAAATGGAGTGTTGCAGATATTAGACAATGTACATGCATTAAAAAAAAATGAGATTGAGGGTATTGCCAGCTACATGGGTGGAAAAATTAGCCCATTGCGACAGCCCGAGGGAGGTAATTGAAAGTAGTTTAGAGGCTGCTGAGGTCAAAGGTGGTTTAATGGGAATATTGAAGTCCCCGAGAATTAGGGATGGAATATTAGAAGAGAGGAAGTAGGGTAGTCAGGCAGCAAAGTGGTCAAGGAAGAGGAGAGGGGAACCAGGGGGACGATAAATAACGTCAATGTTAGCAGAGAAGGGTTTGAAAGGGTGAATCAAATGAATTTCAAATGATGGGAAAGACAGGGAAGGGGGCAGAGTTTTAAAGGAGCAGTAGAAATCCTACACCACCACCTTTACTCTCAGCTTGTCTTGGGTTGTGGGTAAAGTGAAGACCACCAAAGGATAGTGAGGCAGGGGCATATGAATCCATTATTATTATTATTATTGCCATTTATATAGCGCCAACAGATTCCGTAGCGCTTTACAATATTTTGAGAGGGGGGATGTAACAAATAGGACAATTACAGGAAAACTTACAGGAACAATAGGTTGAAGAGGACCCTGCTCAAACGAGCTTACAGTCTATTATAAATATCATTAGAAACAAAATAGGGCTACATTTATATTAATGAGAAATAGCAGGAAAAAAAACAGTATTTAATAATGTTCATTATATACTGTACAATATAATGACTCAAATCACTGGATGCCAACAAGCTGCTGCAGAAATATATGCACACAATGGCAGTAAGCAGATTAAATACATAGTTAACCATTCACCTGCTGTACAGTGAGGTGCTTCAATTGAGCCATTTAGCAGGAACCCTGGATTTAAAGGGTACAAGAAAATCCCAGTAATTTGGCACAAAAGCTCCTTGACAAAGTGACAGTCTGGACCACTGATCCTTAGGTCACAGGTTTGCTGCAAAACTGGGGCCTAAGTTATTTCAGTGGTTTCTCTGTGTTTGGGGAATATTATAATTAACAAGATAGATAAAATGTATAAATGTTAACACTCAAAGTACTCTTATAAGAGAGACAACTTGTCCTGAGAAATATCTTCTAATTGGTGTCCTTTACTATCGAGGTCCTCAGTAGGACATATTGACATGTCTTAAAGTATTGGTGTGAGCAGGGTTACATTTTTGCTCACACTAGGTAGACCAGGTATTAATACCTGCTGCTTCTTTTTTTTTTTTAGTGGCCCAGACTGACAGATGCTCTGTATGCAGCACTTAAGGTGAACACTGTATTATGGTCCTTTAAATGGGAATTTAAATCCCCATTGACTGTTATGCAGTATGAGCTCACCCCAGGAGACAAATATCAATAGATATCTGGGGCCATTTTTAGTGGCCCTAGTTTGACAGATACATTGCATGCAGCACTTTAAATCCTTTGAAAACACAGCGGCTGAGCAGATAGCACTTAGCCGCAGTATTTTTGGGCTCCCAGATTCTCAAAGGCCCCATGTCTATAGTAATCAGTGCTGGACTTTCCCAAGCTTCAATAACAATTTAATCAGCATTCTGGGGTTTCAGCATTACAAGGATATGCCTGTAATGCTGAAAGCAGCCAGCAGATGGTGGCAACATACCTCTCTCTGCTGTTTAAGAGCTGCTGATATCAGTACTTTTATTAGGCTTAAGGTTAAGGTTAAGGCTAGGGTTATGGCAGGGTTAGTAAATAGTTAATGTTAGTGTAAGTTTAGGATTTGTATAGGGTTATTGCTATGGTAAGGGTTAGGTTTAATGCTGTTTGATGGTTAGAGATAGTGTAGGGTAAAAGTTATGGGTAAGGTTGTGGCAGGTATACAGCTAATGTAAGCATGTGTTTAGGGATAGGGTTGGTATAATGTTATTGTATGTTGGTATAGGGTTTGTGTGAACTACCAAAAATGTATTTAGATGCTAGACAGTCTCTACTGTCTTCCCTGCTTCACTCCCTGCACAGCGCAGTGACATCATCAGACTGACTAACTGTTACATTCTAACACTGTCTGACCCAAGGTGCATGTATACGGCTGAAGGATGATCCTGTAATATATTAATGGTAGGGATGCGTTTTTCTAATTTTCTTTCTATATATTTATATAAACACACAAGGTTTGAGGTGAAAGGTGTCCTTTCAGTATTAGTTCTGTTTCCAACATACTACAATATCACTGCTTTTCTGTCTTATCCATAGCCAAGGATACCTATTAGAAGACATTTCTAAGTCGCTTTCACAAGTGTATTTTGAGTGTTCTAACGTATACATTTTTTAGTAGCGTAACATTTTCTATGTCTTGTTTATAGATATATATCTGTGGGTATTGTGTATTTCTCACATTAAATGTTTGCTGCCCGTTCTCCTTCATCATAGACACATAGTGCTTTATCCAATTCGCTTTCTTTCTAACATTATAGGAAATATTGCCTTTCCAATGATAATGGAGAGTGTTTTGTCACCGACAAATAATCTAATTAATGAGATGTGTGCAGTTAATTATATTTATTATTGTAATTATACGTACATATATATATATATATATATATATATATATATATATAAAATAAACAAAAGTGAAGGCTGCACTCCTCGGTCTTCTTAAAAAATGCAAACTATGCTTTATTAAATATGCATAAAAAGAAAAAGTTGATCGACGTTTCAGCCCCAATCTGGGCTTTCCTCAGGATCAAAAATAACAAATGCATTTATTTTATTTTAACATGTTTAATTTTTTTCATTTACACTTCCCACCAGCAGGGGAACTGTCTGACATTTCAGACAGTCCCCCTGCTGGCAGATCCACAGCCAGCTATAGGGGGCCATGCGATCGCTCTTTGAGAGCGATCACATGGCTCCCGGGGACCTCACTTGCCGGGGGAGGGCTGCCTGGGCTGTCAGGCAGAGGTGAGTACCGGAGGTGAGTACCGCCGAGGTCCTGGGGGCTTCAGCCGTTACGTCGTTCTATGCCACCGCAACGGCTTTAAAGCCCTTTAAATGCATAGACGGCATAGAACGCCCTAACGGCGTTAAGCATGATCAAAATGCTATTCATATTTTTGCTTATAATAATTTTTACTACCACATATTTATATGAGGTATTTAAGAATCACTAATTAAAAATGTGTGTGTTTAAGATTCTTTTTTCCTGATTCCTGATTCTTAAATATGTGGTAGTTAATGCTAACACTATACCTATGCTTTATATATATAAAAATATATATGTATATCTACCCTAACCTTACCTCTACGCTGTTCATAACCATAAGACAGCATTAACACTAACCCAATATCTTACCCTACACCCTATGGAAACCCTCTGTTAATATCAGCAGATGAGTTTCCACGTTAAATAGTTAGTACTTAACCAGGAAAGGCACATTCAGATCCTGGGGATGTCCTTAGCCCAACCATGCATGGGTTGTTACTATTACCTAATTAAATGGTACTAATTTATCTACTACAGAAGGATGAAGGGCTGAGAGTCAACCCTGCTGCGATTTGAACCTGCAACCCAAGAGTTGAACACATTCTACTGAGGATGCATTAGCCCACTGAGCTATCTCACCAGCTTCAATGACAATGTTATTGAGGCTGGGCAAAGCCCTGCACTGATCACAAGAGACAGATGGACATGCAGAGATCATGGATCTTCTTTTCTAGCAGGAGTCACATGGATTTACACGTTGATTAGAGATTCTTAATAGGTGTACATAATCTCATTTAAAAGGACACTGTAGGCACCTAGACCACTTCAGCTCATTGAACTAGTCTGGGTGCAATGTCTCATCAACCTTAACCTGGGAGCATGTAATTATTGCAGTTTTTATAAACTACCAAACAGCCACTGGAGGGACTTCCAGGCTCGAAGAACTTTTAACTGAACACTATGCATGAGGCCTTCCAGCGTCACTGGAATCCCCATAGGATAGGATTGAACAATGCCTCCTATAAGTAAATCCTAATGAGAGAGTGGCCATAGCATTAGGTCTACCCCGACTGATATTGGCGGGGAAGGAACGTGGGCGTAGCCGAGCCAGCACCGAGGAACATCGCCGCTGGACCCAGGAAAGTGACAGAAGGGGTTATTAACCTCCTCTGCACCATGGGGAGGGAAGGTTTCTTGACAGAAGGGGTTTCTATAGTACCAGGAAAACAAGTTTGTATCCTTGGCACTATAGTTTCCCTTTAATAGAATGGCAGGATGAATGATAATGCAGTTGTCTCTATGAATTTCAGCAGTCTGATTTCACAGTAAGAGCCTCTTCCTTTTCAGTGTTCATTAGCCATTTGCAAATTTTAGTAACTGTTTGTATATAATAATGGTTGCAAAACAGTGACACACAGTTAAATAAGTAATAAAAACAAACAAACCACAAAACAGTATAATTTCAATCTTTAGTTGATTTGAGAATTGAAATTAAAGTTTAAATTAAAGCTTAGGGGAAAAGACACTTTTCTGGAATTTACGTAATTGAATAAAACATTGAAATCACCTCTAACTTATCTTTTTCATGCGAAGCTCCACTTCTAAATTTATTTTTAAAATTCAGCAAAGAACATCACAAACCAGCTCAGACCAGGCAGGACCAAAGCCCACACTGCAAATAAGCAGTAACAGAAACACCTTAATTTTTCCTCTATCATAGATTTTCTCTAAGCAGACTGCCAGATGCAAAGGGCAGAGTTTTTGACAATATATACATATTTATGTATGGCAATCTGATATTTACTAAAGCTAATTCCAATCAGAATTCAATCATATTTTACCTTAAAAAAATCAAATCAGATTTGGCTAACATTCAAATTTTGAACATTTGGCTGCATATTTAATGAGTTAGATTTGGCTGAAAGCTGGTTTGTATATTTCATTCACTTTGAAATACTGAATATAAAGAGCAGGTACTTACCTGCAGCAGGTGTGACTTCATCTATGGCAGTGTAATTAGCCAGCCAGGAATGAGAGTTCCGGTTGGCTATTGTCAGTTCTGTGCATATTTGTGGCCACTCATCAGATGTATAGCTTGCTAGCAACAGACGAACAATGGGGGAACAGCCCTGCAGTGAGGGACAATGACGTCACCAGAGAAGCATTGGGCTGCAGGGAGAACTTGGCCTTGGCACTTAACCTGGGGGGGGGGGACCATGCCAGTAAGGGTTACTCTAACTAAACACTTTTTTCGTTTAGAGTAAATTCTTAAGACAGTCTGAAGTCTTTATAATACGTTTCAAACCCACAAAATATTTAACTACACTAAATTTCCACTATACAAAGCTTTTTAAAAAAAGATTTTTAAATAAAGAAAAATTACTCCTCGAAATGAAAATCTATTAAATAGAACTAAGAAAGACTGCTTGCCTGCTATATAAAATGTATAATGACCGTTAAAAAACGAGCAATTGGTATTGCGGATATCAATAAATGGTAAACTCTTGGAGTGTTGGAATGGACAGATTCTACGTGAAGGATTTATCACAGATATGTGTTTTGAAAAATGGCACAAAATGTTTGCAATGATACAATAATGCTCCCCAAAGATTATCTGATATCCAAAAGCATGCATGCTGACTCAGGACAGCACCTATTTTTACTATGACAAATCTTCCCTATTGTGTTTTAAATTAAGTACAAACATGTACTCCTAACTTTACAGTTTCCTAGAACATATTTAGGTTTAGCCTCCCTCCCCCTTTGCACCGGGGGGGAAGGGATTTACTTCTCCTTTTTCCAGAGCCGAGACTTACTTGAAGCTCCTCCAGTGACATCATTCTACATGAATGTACAAATCAGTGCTTCTTACAGAAGAACATTGGGACGAGGTGCGCGTGAATGGTGAGCACCATGCGTGTCCTATCAAATGCTTCTAATAGGGAAAAATCAAATCCAATGCTTTCCTATGAGTTGCATTTAGCACGGACATTGAATGTCACATAAGCGAGTGAAACTCTGTAGTAGCAGAGGAAGCACCACTAGTGGCTATCTGGAAGACCTCCACTAGAGGCATGTTTAAAGGGAACTTGCCACCACTTACCTGACTCTTTTCTCCCTCGCCACGATCTCCACTGGTCCACTCTTATTCCTCTTCTGATTTGCCTTGCTTACCAAGCAGGGCAAGCCTAATCAATGACGGCGTCAGCACGGAGAGGAGTGACATCAGTCACTCCGTTTCTATACCCATGGCTAGCAAAGTCGCCAAATACAGACCAGAAGGCCCACCAATGGGAGGTCTCTTCTGCTCTCCCTTTCAATCAATTCTTTGCCATAGAGCCTAGGCTGAAGAATTGACATATTAATTTTTTTCCTTCTCCCTATTTATAAATTTGCTAGCAAAACTGATGATGAAAGAGATTAAATCGTTATGCTCTTTAAATAGAGTAAAAGTGGTTTGGGGCATGGCAGGTGCCCAATACTGTTTCTACAGTTTTACATTGCAGGTTTAAAAACTGTAGGGTCAACGCACCCAGACCACTTCACTGAAATGAAGTGGTCTGGGTAACTTTAGTTGGCCTTTAAATGCTTTTATAAAATATGAACTTGTGAAAAACAAAACAAAAAAAAACAAAAAACAAACCACATATGCAACTTGAATATACTGCATAATTCTAAAATAAATGCTCTAGCAGTGATAATACCTATATAATTCCATTATTTAGGAGAAATCGCAGCCATATTATTATAGTGATAGTGCAGAAATCTTAAATTATCTTAACATTATTTCCTTATACACATTTTATCCTCCAAACAATGCAGTGGAATATACTTGTGGTTTATGCATAAAATAATGAGGAAAAAAAGCCAACATTTAACCAACAATTTTTAATGTCAGATTTTTATACAACAGGGACATTTAAATTAATGTAAGGGATCATCTTACTTGTATGACACTATGACACAATATTATTTTTTTTAAGTTACTAGCAAAACATGGAAAAAAAACAGGTGTCCATTTTGTAACATACCATAAAGGAATCATATTGTGCCCTTAGTTACATAATTTTAAAATATTGTTGTTAAGTTCTATTGTGGGACGGCCAACCGATTTAGTGATTGTTCAACAAAAGAGCAAACATAACATTAGAAACAGAACATTAAAACACCAAAAAGTTATAATAAACTAAAGGTCATAAAAACAGGCCAGGGTTCTTTAAAAACAAACAAACAAAAAAACACAACAGCATTGAAGATTTTTTTTTCATATTAAATACATTTGGTTTTGTTTACATTAGATTATCTGTTTATTGTGCCTATTTGGTTATAGTTTGACTTGAATCCTATACACACACTCACACAAAAGTTTATCCCTATACATAAATGACTGATTTTGTAAATTCTTTTAGAGTTGGATAAGGCTTGAATTTTCCAACAGGGCTACGGTAAAAATTCTTGAAAATTTTCCCTTCTTAAATAATCCAGATTTATATATACACACAGACACGAAATACTTTTTTTCTATTATCCATAAAAGGAGACAGGAGAAAATGTTAATATTTTCACTTATCTGCTTTTTTAAATGAAAAGAAACAGTATAAATTGGGAATTCAAATGTGTATTCCTAAGGCTATAGCACCCTAGCCACCATTTAGGTGATCCCCAGGTGTTAAAAGTTAACTTCTGGAAAGTTTACTTACATAACTTCCCATTCTTTGCTTCTCTGCCTGCGTTTGGCCCAGCCTACTTGGCTGAAGTTATCGAGATCAATGATCTCAGCCAATCTAATATTTTCCCACAGGACTATTGTGAATGCGCAGCAAAATGCAGCGTTGTGCCAATCAGATTGTCTTTCTTGAACCATCTGATAGAAATTGCGGGGGTTTTACTTTGCTATTTCCCGGAAGCACCTCTAGTGGCTGTCATACTGAAAGTCACTAAAGGCAGATCAGTCCTGCAAAGAAAAATTTGACGTTCCTGCAGGGTGGGGGGATACATAGTACAAAATATGAGCATGAAATGGTCTGGGTGCCTATATTGTTTCTTTAAAGGGTTACTAAACCACCTAAACTTGCTTAAATGGCTATGGTGAAGGGACCTCCAACCAGCCAGAAGCTTTGTTTCTGGATTCGCTATGTGAATTTTATCTATGTTTTGCAAACAGCATATTCCACATGCACAACTCCCTCCTCCCAGGAGAAAGCAGAAACACAGACTGTGGCTATGTGAATGGCTGCTATAAGTTTACAGAGCAGATCCACTCATCCAAAGTGGATTACAGAAAAATAATTTGGGTGGTGGGGATTATGGGAAAGGCAGACATACAAAATAGTGCACTGAGGAAAACTTTAAATGAGTATTTTTTTTTAATCCATTAAAAATAAGATGGCGTCATTTTTACCCACCCCCCAGTTTCCTTTTAAAAGTGGATCATATTCAAGCCTGTTCATTGGACCTAGCTGTAGAAGGAATGGTTAGGATCCTCACTGCAATCCTAGACAATTGACGGGATTTAAAAAATCCCTTCCACCATGTGAGAGGAGACATTGTTTTTGCTGCCCTCCAAATTATTTCTCTGCTCCAAAGTTTGTCCTTTGCACGGTACTCAGCAAGGTCGGTCACCACACTCATTTCATCAATGCTTGAAAGGTTCTTAGCAACGTCCACAATGGCATCAAGAGCAATGCAAAATTCTTCCTCTGATAAGTTGTCTCCACTGTGTCGTGGATCCAAAAGATTTGCTGCTAGATGAATTGGATGACAGCAGAATTTGCAGGAGTTTTCAAATATTTGCTTTGCTTCATCTTTGTCTGCTTTAGGGAGCGTTAAAGACGGCAAATTCTCCATTACATTTTCATTCAGTTTCCTGAAAATATCTGGGATAGATGAAATGTTGGGAGTGCCTTCTTCAAGTTTCATAACAGCTTCCAAAATAGGAAACAACAAGTTAAAAACTCCTTGGACTTGAACCCAAAAAACATTGCCATCCAGAATCTTCTTACAAATGTTGACTGGAATAATCTGGGATACTTTTTCATCTACAGCAGAGTACTGCAGTCGACTTTTAGAATTCAGCAAGCTCTCTAAACACTTAGTGGCCTCGTAAATTAGTTTGCCTTCTGTGCCTTGTTCCTCCTTCTGTATGCGATTCAGTGTATAGCTAATAAGGCGATGATTGTTAAACACATTTGCAATTTCATTGCAATCTGAGATTATTGTTTTTATTGACCTCAGGTGTACTATGCTGTTTGCCAGACTATTCAACCCACTAGTAAGACATCCAAATACTATCAGATGAGGATATTTGGATTTGAGTATTTCCCATGCAGAATGCATGTTATTTGCATGGTTAGTGACGAGGGCTTGTACCCTAAAGGGATCTGCCCTTTCGATCTCTTCACTCAACAAATTGGCTATGTATTCACCCGTCTGCTCTGAAGATTTGGTCACAACTGTCTTCAGGTAGATTGGTTCAGGTGTTGCAAACCTAATGTTCAATAAACTATTTTCTTGTTCATCTGTCCACCCATCTGACATCAGCGTCAGATATTCCGCTTGATGGATCTTCTGAGCAATGGTTGCTGGTATTCCACTATACTGTCCACCTATAACAGAATGGGTCACTTGAGAAGATGATGGCAATGCATAAGATGGACACATCAATTTGTAGGGCTGCTTGCAGTCTTCATTTTCACTTATGGAAAGAGGTGTATTCCTCGGCGACATGACTTCAACAAATCCATCACCTTCTTTTTCCTGATCTACTTCTGACACGGCACCCACAAAACTGGTTACCGAACCTACTGATGTCGAACGATCAACCTCACAAGACACATCTTGTGACCCTGATGCGGAAAAGGGACCTTCATCTAGGTCTAGCAGAGGAACATTTACAGTTTCCACAATAGGAAAATCTGCTGCTTGACTAGAACTACCGGCTTCCTAAAATAAAAAATAAGAAGAACATTTTTTTAAAATTAAAGTTTTTCAGTTCAGCTATAATGTTGCAAAACACAGTAAACATAATTACATTTTTCCAGGTCAATATACATACATGCATACACACACACACACACACACATTTCAAAGTTACAAGAGTCAAGGAAAAATGCTATGAACCAAATAAGCCTAAAATAGGATATTTTAAATAGTAATGCATAAACCCTGTGGAATTGTTAAGGGGGATCTCCCTTAAGTTCATATTTTTTTTCCCATTTTGCTGTACATTGGAGCCACTCAGCGATTCTGATTAATTACAGACACCACTTGCCATGTTAACAATAATAGAAAAAAAATGTGACTCATTCCAAAGACAATCTCGTTGTCTAGGTATGACATTAACCCATTACTAAATGGTTTGACTCCTTACATTGGGAGGTCACCAAGGCATGATGTAGTAGTTATGATGATTGGGGTATTGCTTTAACAGGTTACTATAAGCCTTTTTCACATTATGGGTTTTAAAGTTTATATTGCTCCACAGGGCATTATATACTAGATCCACACCCTTTTTAAATGATTAAAAATTGTTTTAGAATAAACTTACCTTGAGTCCAGGGCAGGCAGAAGTTCTCCTCCCTTGTTTATTTGCCCCATCTTGACGCATACCCCGTCACTCCATGGTCCAATTTAATGCTTCTCGTAGAAGAAGCATTTGATTGGACAGCTGGGGAGGGGGGAAGGGAGTGGGGGATGGACAAGGCATGGGATTATTACATAATAATGAACAAAACAAAAAAAAACGATGTAGGTAGGCAGTTTTTTGCCCAGAAGATCAGATGCCGATGCAGTTGGCCACACACGGATGTGTAATCCACCCTCCAGTAAACTTCAGTGAGAGATTTTTATTTTTTCCTTGAGAAGCGACAGTTTCTGTATCAAGATTATTTTAAATCAGCTTGCTGTATTAATAAAATGGTAGATGATATCCATTTAAAAAAAACTTACATATGATGTGTGATGTAGGTATTTCATCGGTAAGGAGCAGTCACTTTTCTCGAGCAGTCTCTTGAATGAGTCCTGCACTCTCTCCGGACATCGCTGACATAACGTTGCCAAATGCCTTTTCATCCTTGTTGCATTGTTTGCATAGGTTTGCCCACAGTACTTACATTTCCCAACAATCTTTCTTCCATCTGTATACTCAGTATAGTGATGCCACACTGAGCTCTTCTTCAGATTCGGCATTGTAGTGACCTTAAAATACAAACAAAAAGCACAAATGATTCTTGTAAGTGAAGGCTCCTCAGCTGCAAGCAATGAGATGAGCCATACTGCAAGCACAGCCTTTAGTTTCATTTTCACATGGAGTCATTTTTAGACGTAGAAAATTTTCTAACAGGAAACCACAGTGGTGGAAAAGTCCCCAAGCTGCTGAGACTTTTCCATGCAGACACGCACCTATTCACTAAACAGTGAGATGATAATTTTTTTGCTAAATACAGACCAAAAATCCAAACAGTAAAATACTATCTAGATTCAGATAACACAGTGGTCAACTATCTCCAACTGATTCTCTTTATTATTTTTTTTCTATATCATCGGTATTAGCAGACATTTTGGTTAAGATACCCTTCTGTTACAAATATCTTATTGACACTGTCCATAGAGGATTATTAGACTATCACAATTTTCATGACATGATAAAATTTAAAAATGTGGTACTGTCACACCCCTCCCCCAATTTTTTTTTTTTTTTAAATAAATTGTAAAATATTAAATTAGTTTAATTACTGCAATTGTGAAACATTGGCTGTTGCTCGTTATTGTGACTCCCATTAATCTCAGGCAGACCGGGACATCTGGTGGTGCATTAAGGAGAATGTAACTATTGTTACACATCGATCTTAGTCTAATTCTTAAAATCTTAGTGCAATTAAAAATATATATATATTCATTTGAATGTATCCATAACCTTAAAAACGTAACATTCTTTCCTATTGCCCGTCAAAGTGCAACAGTGTACATCCTTATACAACAGACTCTACTGGAGAACAAAACCTTTGCAAATGAGAGATTTGGAAAAAACAGTAGATCTCACAAGCTTATTCACTAAAATGAGAATTGTTGGGGATTCAAAGTCTATTTCAAATTTAAGGCCAAAATATCCAAATTGGAAGCAAAGCTGTGTGTGTGACTTGGGTAAAGACTATCTAACCACTTCTGGGTCACAATCCTTAAACATATAGTTCCAACACTACTGTGTTCCCTACCTATAGATGCCCCCTTTCCCCACCACAAGGGTTTAAGAGGTGAGATTTAATTACCTTTAGTCGCTTGCTGCACTGGTCTCGGTGCAGTTATTAAGCCAAGAGTGATAGGTAAACACTGGGAGGCATAACTGCTCAATGCCAAACTAATGGTCTATTTGAGTCTAATCTGACTAAATAGCGAAGTTTAAATGGCTATGGAGGTGGACGTGACTCTAGTGGCTGCCAGGAAGACAGCCATTAGAGCCATATTTTTACCCTTCCATGCAAACATTATTGTTTCTACTAAATGGCAAAGGTTTACATGGAAGGTTTTAAATGAAAGGACCACTGCACCCAAACTCCTTCATTGAAATGATTGGAGATGAGTGATTTGCAGTGGTTTTAGTGCTTAGTGTCCTTTATTTGAATAAAGTGGTTCTGGGGTACAGACCCGGTCCCTTTTTTCAGACAATATAAAGCGGTTTCAGATAAATATTTACATCGGCCCAAAACATCAACCAGAGCAGTTTCCTCTTTAAAGGACCACTAAAAGCACCAGGTCTACTTTATCTCAGTGAAGTGGTCTGAGTGCAGTGGTCCTTTACTTACAAACTGAGTAATGTAAAACATTGCAGCTTTGTAGAAAGTGCAATGTTTACATTTAATGGCTAAAAGAAAATGAAGTGGTTGTCTTCCTCACAGCCCCTATAAGAGATGAGTCAGATTTGGTTTCTAATCAAATGATTCTTGAGTGGTGCAGAAACTTCTATTTGTTCACACGGATCCATCATGAAGAAACCAAACAATACTAATATTTCTCACTAGAGAATGAGCACAATCAATGCTTTTCTGTGATGAGCTCTGGAACTGGCAGATGTTTGCGGCAATTGCAGTACATGCGCCATGCGTCCTCAATGCTGCTGTAGGAAAAGCATTTGATTACAGACCTCAGAAAAGATGGATTGGGCTGCAGTGAGGATTACGGGCAAGTTTAAATAGTTGTTAATGGTTTATAAATTTAAACAAAGGGGTCCAGTAATCTAAATTAATAAGCAAACATGTCTGACTTTAAAAATAATATATTTGCAATGCTCCTTTAAAGGGATTTATTTATTTAATTAGCATTGTAGACCTGAATTATGCAATACATGCACCTATTTTGCAGAACCAAGGACTGCAATTAAAATTATCTTTAGCCCAAACCTCCCAACATTGGTGTCACTGGCAGTGCCCATAATGGGCGGATCTGTCCAACGAAGGCAAAAGGGACCAGTCCAGTCCATCTATCAGTGATCTGAAGTGATCAGGTGGTAGAAATATACAGGGCCGGCCCGTCCATAGGCCCTGGTGGGGCTAGGGCTCCAGGTGGCACTTTGACAGGAGCAGCATTTTGCCGCTTCTGTCAAAGCATGTTCCTATGATGCGTATCACTCTCTCCCCCACCCCCCCATGGGCACGGCTACAGAGGGCAGGTGCCAGCTAAATTATTCCCTACCTTCACTCTTCGTGTGTCTCCCCGCGAGATGGGAATTTTACCTAGATAGAGGGTGCGCTCTCTGCAGCTCTACTGACTGTCTGAAGGCCCCCACGTGAACACACGCCGACGGGGATGGAGACAAAGTACACTGCTCATCTACTTCCTGACCCTCATCGAGACAGGATGTGGACAGCCGGTACGTGACTCAGGACGAGCAGGGTACCGCGAGGGCGAAGCATCCAGGAACTGCCACTCCCTGCCCTGTGCCTGGAAGAGGTACTGTGCTGTGTGTAATGGGCTGCTTGGAGTTCCTCCAACCCCCACCTGTGTATGTAAGGGAGGGCTGCTTGTGTTGTGTTTGGTATGTATGTATTAGGCAGGGTGTGTGTGGATTAAGCAGTTTAAATATAAAGCAGTCTGTATGTGTGATGGATGTATTAGTCAGTGCCAAGACTCTCTGGGCATCCAAAGTGTGTGCACGTACATATGTATTAGAAGGTTTGTGTATGCGTATGTATGAGCCAATGTGTTTGCCTATGTATTAGGCAGTATGTATGCATTAGACATTGTGTGTTTTATGTACATGCGTGTATATATATGTATGTATTGGGCAGTTTATGTTAATGTGTGTATGTATTATTTTCAGAAATTTCACCAGGAAGGCCCTAGAGCAGCTCAAGCCTCAGGTATCAGCAGAATTATTGGGGACAGTCAGTGCCGGCACTACCACAAGGCAGCACAGGTGGCAGCCTTAGGGCGCACCGGCCCAGGGGACACAATATTCGGGCTCCAGGTGACTGGCAGCAGGGGAGCGCACAGTGCTCCACCTTCTGACAGTCATTTCATGTAGTTGTGGCTTAGCGGACCATGCTGCAGTAGAGGATCTTTGTCCACTACCTTAAAAAGACAGGAAGCGCTCAGTGAGAGAACTGAACTGCTTCCTGTCAGAAGCTCCTCTACCGCAGTCCTCTCGGCCACAATACATGAAGGGAAAAAAAGTAGGGGCACATAAAAGGGCCTAACATAATGGATGTGGCCGTTGTTTTAGTGAAGGGGGCAGCATTTCATCCTTGGGCCCAGGCAGCACAATGTTTCAGCTTGGAACAATGCATATACCAAGTCAACTGCACTCAGGCTATTGAGTGCAGTCCTATCACAAGCGTGGTGCTGGATCTCCCTCAGCGTGGAAAGCAATGCTGGATTCCAGGTGAGTAATAACTTTATTTTAGACTTTTTTTTTTTTTTTTAATAAAAGGGGGGAGGCTAATGTATAATGCCCAATAAGGCATTATACATTGAAAAACAGAATAGGGGGAAACAAAGGGTTGGATTAAACCTTTAAGCACAAAGCCTCAAACTAAGGAAGGTAAGCCATTTTACCATGTTATATATGTTGGATTACCTCAAACCCTAGAATACACACAATTAAGTTACAGTATATTAGCCTGCTATTAGGACTCTGGACAGACAAGTACCACAAGCCTCGACCCCACCTTATAAAACATAAAATGCACATTTTACTTATTTGGACAGACCAGCAGTGTGTTTCTTGGCTGCACAATCAGTCACTATTCGGCAAAACAATCAGGAAATATGTTGGGGGTCTGTGAATATAAACAAAACCTGGCACACAGACATAGAGCACAATGACAGCCATGAGAGTGATTCATACCTTTTTCTGCATTCACTTTGAGTAGATTACAGTCGTGTCATGCCAGTGCTGGCACAGAGAGGGGGATTCCGCCGTTCTGATGAATGTATCTGAAGATGGAACTTAGAGCTATTCGAGAAAGCATGTATCCATTCCACCTAGCTGCTAGGCAACTTCCGGGTGGGGGGGAAGGGTGCAGTGCATTCTGGGTCCTAGAGAGATCCCATTCAGCAGCTGTTAGCCCACACACTGCATATAGTGTGGGCTCAGAAAGGAGAAAGACAGAAAAGAACTAGCGATGGGAGAGTTCAATAAATACGAATGAAGGAGATAAAGGAGAATTATAAGATGCTATAACTACTGTGTGAAGTGTTAAGAATTCAGAGTGTTTTTTTTTTTTAAATGTAGACTAGTTTGGCTATTTAATTTTACTGCAATTTGACATTCCCCTTGGAAGGTTTATTCACTAAGCCGAGAATTGTTATGAACATATCTGAGCTTATTTTCTAGGATATTGACATCCAGAGCTCTTAGCAGCACAGAAAAGTGTGAGTTTAACAACTATATAGTTTTAAAAACACTCTCACACAGATCTGACATATTGCACTATTATCTGTATATACTATTTTGTGTTTTAAGGTCCTGTGTGATCTGTAGTTTTCCTGACACTCTATAACCCTTAGGTTCCGCCCCACCCTCAGTGCCCCCCTCCTGCTGGGCTGAAGGGGTTAGAACCCCTTCAGCTACTTGCTTGAATCCAGTGCCGGGCTCCCTCTCCTCCCACTCTGACGTCAGCTCCAGAGTGGAGCGGAATGCGCATGCGGGGCCAGAACCGCGCACGCATTAAAAACGCCCATAGGAAAGCATTTCTCAATGCATTCCTATGGACGTTCTCCACGCTGAATGCAATTTTCGCATTCAGCGTCGCAGAAGCGCCTCTAGCGGCTGTCAGGAAGACAGCCACTAGAGGCTGGATTAACCCTGCAATGTAAACATAGCAGTTTCTCTGAAACAGATTTTCACATATCCTGAGGCGGGGATTGTACCGTCCAAGCGCTATACAGCAGAGCTCTTAGCAGCTCAGAAAAGTGTGAGTTTAACAACTATATAGTTTTAAAAACACTCACACAGATCTGACATATTACACTATTATCTGTATATACTATTTTGTGTTTTAAGGTCCTGTGCAATCTGGAATTGCCAATCTTTGACTGTTAATGAGTGTATGTATATATAAGATTATATACTAATTCTGCACTATAAGGGCACTTTAAATATAATTTTTTAATCTGTGTGGTTGTTTTGGCGTGGTAGATCATTCCTGTTTTTTCACAATTTGCACTCTTCGCAAGGTTTGGGAATCCTTGCTGATCTAATGCAGCCCATTCTTATTGATAATACAGTGCCTTGCAAAAGTATTCACCCCCCTTGGCATTTTTCGTGTTTTGTTGACTCACAACCTGGAATTAACATGGATTGTTTAAGGATTTGCATCATTTTAATTTACAGAACATGCCCACAACTTTGAAGATTTTTTTATTTTTTTTATTTTGACGCAAACAACAAATAGGACAAAATAACAGAAAAATTCAATGTGCATAACTATTCAAGCCCCTAAAGTCAATACTTTGTAGAGCCACCTTTTGCGGCAATCACAGCTCCAAGTCGCTTTGGACAAGTCTCTATGAGCTTGCCACATCTTACCACTGGGATTTTTGCCCATTTCTCCTTGCAAAACTGCTCCAGCTCCTTCAAGTTGGATGGTTTGCGCTTGTGAACAGCAATCTTTAAGTCTGACCACAGATGTTCTATTGGATTGAGGTCTGGGCTTTGACTAGGCCATTCCAAAACATTTACATGTTTCCCCTTAATCCACTCAAGTGTTGCTTTAGCAGTGAGTTTTGTGTCATTGTCCTGTTGGAAGGTGAACCTCCGTCCTAGCCTCAAATCACGCACAGAGTGGTACAGGTTTTGCTCAAGAATATCACTGTATTTAGCACCATCCATCTTTCCCTCAACTCTGACCAGTTTTCCAGTCTCGGCTGCTCGGAGGGTGTTCTTTGGGTGATGTGATGTGTTGTGTTTGCACAAGACATAGTGTTTTCTTTGATACCCAAAAAGTTCAATTTTAGTCTCATCAGACCAGAGCACCTTCCTCCATACATTTTGGGAGTCTCCCACATGCCTTTTTGCAAACTCAAAACGTGCCATTTTGTTTTTTGCTGAAAGTAATGGCTTTCTTCTGGCCACTCTGCCATAAAGCCCAACTCTATGAAGCGTACGGCTTATTGTCGTCCTATGTACATATACTCCAGTCTCTGCTGTGGAACTCTGCAGCTCCTCCAGGGTTACCTTAGGTCTCTGTGCTGCCTCTCTGATTAATGCCCTCCTTGCCGGTCTGTGAGTTTTGGTGGGCGGCCGTCTCGTGGCAGGTTTGCTGTTGTGCCATGTTCTTTCCATTTGGTTATGATAGATTTGATGGTGCTCCTGGGGATCATCAAAGATTTGGATATTGTTTTATAACCTAACCTTGACTTGTACTTCTCAACAACATTGTCCCTTACTTGTTTGGAGAGTCCCTTGGTCTTCATGGCAGTGTTTGGTTAGTGGTGCCTCTTGCTTAGATGTTGCTGCCTCTGGGGCCTTTCAAAAAAGGTGTGTATATGTAATGACAGATCATGTGACACTTAGATTGCACACAGGTGGACATCATTTCACTAATTATGTGACTTCTGAAGGTAATTGGTTGCACCAGAGCTTTTTATGGGCTTCATAACAAAGGGGGTGAATACATACACACATGCCAATTTGCTGTTTTCTATTTCGAAAAAATAGTTTTAGGTATATGTTTTTCTCATTTCACTTCACCAACTTAGACTATTGTGTTCTGAACCATCACATAAAATTCAGATTAATAAAACATTGAACTTAAGGCTGTAAAGTACCAAAATAGGTAAAAAGTCAAGGGGGTGAATACTTTTGCAAGGCACTGTAGTGAGCGCCTACACCTATTTCTATATAAATAGCTGTAGGTCGATGGTGATCCTGTAGTCAGGTGACTGGGTTGGCTGCCACTCTGGATCTCGAGGTGAATGGCGTGATGTTAGAGGGATCCCAGGATCCACCACAAGCGTTGTTGAGCCAGTGTTAGTCCCTGTAACAAAACCCTACCTGGGAATATTCACTGCTACCGGCCCTTTAAGAGCTAGCCAGGCACATATACAGGAACAGAGACCTCGGATTATAAAGATAGATTGTTTATCAAGCAAAAGACATCTAACTGGATATAATTGAATGTACTTACCTGTTTCGTGGGGATTATTCTTTAAAACAGTTCGGGACTTTTAAAGCATTCGCTTCCTTGTGCGACCCAGACAGTATGGACCCAGCATTCACCGTACGAATGCAAACTACCGAACACTGGACCCCCCCTGCTACATAATTATGTGGTAATTTACCTCCCTGATCGGCACATTCAGCTCTTATGGGAAACGCACAAACGCTTTGTTTCAGTTCCTGGGTGGCCGCCATTTCGGCACTATACACGTGGTCGTGGCCATTTTAACTCCCGAACAGCAGTGTTTTGCAGTTGAGTGTCTGGAACTAAAATCGGACACTCGAATAGGCAAACACCGCTTAGACCTCCATAGTACCAGAAATTTGTGCCAAAACCACCGAACACCCTGCCATTCGGTAGAAAGACTCAGTAGCATATGGGGATTCTGGCGAACGTCAAGTTACACAAGGATGGCAAGCCTTTTGGGACTTTTAACGCATGAACAAAGACCGACCGCAAGGCCAAAACTCATGGAACTATTTTTGGCTATTTTGCCTGTGCGGTCGGTCAAAACTTTAAAGTCTCATATCTCCCGAACCACTGAACCGAATGAGCTGATTTTCACATATGTTGGTCCCCCAGAATAGGGCTATCAGACACCAGATTTATGCATGTACCCCAGGTATTTGGGGTACATCCGAAACTTGGGGAAAAATGTAACTGTGTTAATTGGGTTACAGGCTTATCTGAGGGGAGGAGATGTGTGGGATGTACCCTATGTTGTATTGGTTGTTTTGTTAATTATGTGGATGTCTCCCTTGCATGGGCAGAATTACATAAAAGGAGAGTACCTGCCATTAAAATTCAGTTCTTCTTGACCCTTCAAAACGTAGCCTTGTCTCGTTATTGAAAGGGGATATGCAGCTTAATCACTTAGCTAAAAATGGGTCGCAAGAGTATTCTGAGAATGGACAGCAGCTAAAATAGCCTGCCCTTCGGTGGGTCTCCACTCAGGACTCAAGCTGGTTTTAGCTCATCTTGTGCCATTACAGAGAGAACATATCTGAAGCATATCAGACTGGTCCCACCCATACGGGCAGTCCAGATCCGAAATGCCAGCAAGTTCTCTCTGCACGAGAGATACAGCAACTCCAGACGATCCTTGTTAGGCATCATCAGTGAGGCATAGCTGATATCTCTCTAGGCACCGTGAGAAAGGGGTCCACGTCTGGATTACCCTTTAAACTAATGGAGAGCAAAAAATGGGTCGCAAGAGTATTCTGAGGACGCTGATTGGGCAGGTCACGTGAGCTCCCATGCCAGGAGCTGTTACAAGATCTTGATAGGATACGTGTGATTCTTCAAACAGCAGATTCGTCGTGTCTCTCAGTGCCTTCATTATGTGCCGTTTGTATTGGTTAGTGCAACGTAAGATAACCTGGTAATTTTAGGTGAGGATTCAGCCGAACTGAGGATTTGGTACACCCCATCTATGATAATTTTCCTTGCTACAGCCAGGGGCAAGATAGTCACCAGTAATATTCTCAGATAATTTGGTAGCTCCTCTCTTCGGTTAACACAGTAGCAGGGATGCTGCGTATCTTAACGTTGTTGCTTCTAGAACGGTCCTCCATGCCATTCATTTGTAAAGAGAAGGTTTGTTACACCTTTTGGAGCTGTTGTACAGAGCTTTGCACATTAGAGAGGCCGACGTTTATATAAAAAATGTTCTCCTCCGTGGCATGTACTCGGTTAGTGGTTTTTTACATGTCTGACTTAAGTATCGTTAGTTCTGCTGCTAGCAGCTTGTGGAAGTCATGTAGTAAGGTCATGCTTAGTTGCCAAGGCTAAACCCTCTGAGGGACCTGCGGGATCAGTCTTTTAGGTGAGAGATTAGGACTGCTCTCGTAGTTTGCGATGGTCGTTTGATGAATCAAGAACGTTGTCAGGTAAGCCTTCGGCACATGCCATTTTAGGTATTTTTTTTGAATCATGGTTTCAATATCCCTGTTGTCAGTCGGGTTACAAGGTTTCTGGGAGTGACGTCCCATAACGTACATTGGGTCTGTCGGTCCAGGCCACAGGTGAGCAGGATTATCCAGCTCCCTGCCCACATAGGCACAGCCAAGGAGGGTCATTAGGCCTAGGAGCATCTGCAAAGTGTAGGCCCTTGATCTACAATTGGCCTGCACATGCGTCTCCAAGTATTCTGCCGAACGGAGAACAATATGCGCATGCGTATGGCCAAAAGTAGATATACAAAATATTAATAGACCACAGAAGACTGCGATCATACATAAGAACGGCATTAGTTGTTCGGACGCACATACGCACGAACACACAAGCAAAACATACGAATGTCCAATAATCTATGCGCATGCGTCCCCAGGAAAACCACCAAACAGGAATGAATATGCGCATACTTTCAACTAGAGATGAGCGAACTCAAACTGTTCGGGTTCGTACCGAACATTACGATTTTTTGACGCAGAACCCAAGCCCGGACATTTCAGTAACAGTTCAAGTTTAATGGCACTTTTTAAAATAAAAGCTGCAGTGCAGCCAATCAACAAGCGTTTGACTTGTGTGCCCTTAGAAGCCATCACAGCCATGCCTATTAATGGCATGGCTGTGATTGGCCAGTGCAGCATGTGACCCAGCCTCTATATAAGCTGGAGTCACATGAGCTCTTATTAGTGTAGGGAGAGGATGCTGCAGCTGTGAGGGACAGATTAGGAAAGAATTCTGGTGTTGAATCTGCAAACTACTGTGATTATTTTTGTGGATGCTATACTACATTTTTGTACCCTGCCCTGAGACCATTGCCACAGAGAAATAAGCAATCAGACTGTTTGTTAGGTGGGCACTTGCAACTGCATGTGTGCCAGGCACATTACTTTAACCCTGTTCTGGTAGCTCAGTGGGCAACATCTAGGCATTTTTAAATACTGTTGTGACATTGCAGTTTGACAAATTAACATTTCTTTGGTGCTAAAAAATAAATTTGGGGTGTGCACTTCATATCTGAGAGTCAAATAGAACCGTCAAATACTGTGGTTACATCGCACTTTGAAAAATTTAAAAATTTTTGGGTGTGAAATAGTACATTTGCTGCCTGCGGTGCACTTCATATCTGAGAGTCAAATACTGTGGTTACATCGCACTTTGAAAAATTCAAATTTAAACCATCTGTTAGTTTGGTGGGTGAACGCAAAGAATGAGGAGAGCGTCAAATAAGGGACATGTTGGTGTTGGTGGAGCTCCTGTTGCAGGGAGAGGACGTGGTCGATCTGTGCCAGCTACATGCACAAGTGAAACACCTTCCTCAGCTGCGAGTAGGCGACAGAACCTTCAGCGTTATTTGGTAGGCCCGAATGCCGCTCTACGAATGGTGAGGACAGAACAAGTACAGGCGATAGTAGATTGGGTGGCTGTCAGTGCCTAAAGTTCCTTCACATTGTCTCCCACCTGGTCCCCTGCTGAAAGCTCAGAGTTGGCACCTGCAGCCCATGGCCATTTGTCTTTCATCTCAGCCCCTTGCAAATCAGCCAAGCAGTCTGAGCCACAAGTCATGCAGCAGTCTCTTATGCTTTTTGATGACTCCCTGGTGTGGCAGCTCTTCAGACAATCTGCTGACGACAAGACACAAGTGGTTTGCACGCTGTGCAATCAGAGCCTGAAGTGAGGCATAAACATTCTAAACCTGAGCACAACATGCATGACCAGGCATCTACATGCAAAGCACGAGCTGCAGTGGAGTAAGCACCTCAAAAACCAAGAAAGGTCTCAGGCTCCTCCTGCTTCCTCTTCTGCTGCTGTCTCGGCCTCTTCCTCCACCTCTGGAGTGACAGTGGCACCTGCCACCCCGCAAACAGAGCATGTGGCAGCAACGCCACCACGTCCGCCACCGTCCCCAAGCATCTCCACACTGTCCCAGCTGTCCATCTACCAAAGACTGGAGAGAAAGAGGACGTACCCCCCTACCCACCCGCGATCCCTGGCCCTGAATGCCAGCATTTCAAAATTCCTGGCCTTTGAAATGCTGTCATTCAGTCTGGTGGAGACGGACAGTTTTCAAAACCTGATGGCGGTGGCTGTCCCACAGTACATGGTTCTCAGCCGCCACTACTTTTCCAGGTGAGCCATCCCTTCCCTGCACAACCAATTGGCGGACAAAATCAGGTGTGCACTGCGCAACACCATCTGTGGCAAGGTCCACATAACCACTGATACGTGGACCAGTAAGCACGGACAGGGACGCTATATTTCCCTAACTGCACACTGGGCAAATGTAGTGGCGGCTGAGCCTGAGGCGGATAGCAGTTTGGCGCATGTCCTTCCGCCACCGAGGATTGCAGGGCATTTCTCTTTGCCTCCTGTTGCCTCCTCCTCCTACTCCGCTTCCTCCTCCTCATCCGGTCAGCGTAACACCTTCACCACCAACTTCAGCATAGCCAGCGGGAAATGACAGCAGGCTGTTTTAAAACTGATATGTTTGGGGGGAAAACCCCACACCGTGCAGGAGCTGTGGACGGGCATGGAACAACAGACCGATGAGTGGTTGTTGCCACTGAGCCTCAAGCCTGGCCTGGTGGTGTGCAATAATGGGTAAAATCTTGTAGCAGCTCTGGGCCTAGCCGGTTTGACGCACATCCCTTGCCTGGCGCATGTGCTGAATTTGGTGGTGCAGAAATTCCTGAAAAACTACCCAGATATATCAGAGCTGCTGCAGAAAGTGCGGGACATCTGTACGCGCTTTCTGCGTTCTCACCCTACTGCTGCTCGCCTGTTTGCGCTGCAGCGTAACTTTATCCTTCCCGCTCACCGCCTCATATGCGACGTGCCCACAAGATGGAACTCCACCTTGCACATGCTGGAGAGACTGTGCGAGTAGCAGCAGGTGATAGTGGAGTTTCAGCTGCAGCACGCATGGGTCAGTCGCTCTGCACCAGACTTGCCCTCCAATAGATCCTCGTTAAAGGATTTAAAGTGTACTCATTCCAATTACAGGGCCTCGAAAGAGTCCTGTATTGTTATTTTTCGTCACTACCTCCCCGCGTCGGGAGTGGGTAATTTGCGCGCCTGCTGCCTTCCTTGGATGTGGTAGCCGTTTCTCAGGCTCCCTCTCCGGAATCGAACCCTGATTCCCCGTTACCCGTGGTCACCACGGTAGGCGCAGAAAGTACCATCGAAAGTTGATAGGGCAGACATCCGAATGTATCTTCGCCGTCACGGGGACGTGCGATCGGCCCGAGGTTATCTAGAGTCACCAAAGTGCCTGCGCAACGACTGCCGAGTTGCCCACATTCTAACTAGTACTGGGTGGCCACCCTGCTGGATCCCCGTTACAAGGACAACGTGCCGTCCTTAATTCCCTCACTGGAGCGTGATTGGAAGATGCGCGACTACAAGCGCACGCTGGTAGACGCGCTTCTAAGGGCATTCACAACTGACACCGGGGGCTCTGTGGAAGCACAAGGTAAAGGCAGAGGAGGACGAATAGGTCGCCAACGCAGCTGGGGCACCGCCAACATATCAGAAGGCAGGGTTAGCATGGCCAAAATGTGGAAAAGCTTTGTCAGCACGCCACAACAACCAGTACCACCAGCTGATATGGAACGTCTTAGCAGGAGGCAGCATTTCAACATGATGGAACAGTACGTGTGCACATGCCTACATGTACTGACTGATGGGTCTGCCCCATTCAACTTCTGGGTCTCCAAATTGGGCACATGGTCTGAGCTTGCCCTTTATGCCTTGGAGGTGCTGGCCTGCCCTGCAGCCAGTGTATTGTCTGAACGTGTGTTTAGCACGGCAGGGGGCGTTATCACAGACAAGCGCAGCTGCCTGTCCACAGCCAAAGTGGACAAGCTCACGTTTATTAAAATGAACCAGGCATGGATCCCACCAGAGTTGTCTGTACCTTGTACAGAATAGACATTTATACCGGCCTCACCCAGCCATTGTTATACTCAAGTGCACTTATTCTTTGTTTTCTTTTTTTATATGTTCCAATATTTTGAGGGCTATCCCAATTCAAAAAAACAAACAAAAACCAAAAACCTCCTCCTCCACCACTGCTTCCACCTACACCGACACGGTCACCGCCTCCTCAACCTCCCACTCCACATCCACCTCCTCCTCCTAGTTCAAGATTATTATTTTTATGTTATTTTAAGTTATTTCCCTATCCATACTTTGTTTGCAGGGCACTTGTCCTACTCTTACCCTCATTTTACTTCCTTTTGCAGCCCTCTGGCCCTTTCCAGGACTTTTTTAGAGCCATTTTAGTGCCCAAAAGTTCGGGTCCCCATTGACTTCAATAGGGTTCGGGGACAAGTTCGAGTACGAATTCGAATTTTTTGCCGAAGTTCGGCCGAACCCGAACATCCAGGTGTCCGCTCATCTCTACTCTCAACTCTTGTCATTTTACCCCACTCTGCTCATAATGTAAACTCACACGAGTAGGGCCCTCCGCACCTTCTGTTCCTGTATATCCAAGATTTAAAACCTTCTTTATAATCTCCATTTACTCCTGGGATTTGTAACCACTTGCTTCTTCTTTGCTATGTGCATTTTTATAGGGACACCATAGACACCAAAAAAACTTAAGCTTAATTTAGTGTTTTTGGTGTATAGTTCATGCCCCTGCAGCATGGGCGTCCGCAAGAATTATTCCGGGGTGGGGGGGGCATAATTGTCATTATCACATAAAGCCATGGTGAATAGCGTTTTCACAACTATGGTGTCAGGAAACACAAGTTTGTATTCCTGACACTATAGTGTTATCCTTTAAGCAAATTAAAGGAACATTTTGGTCACCGTAACAACTTAATCTAAATGAAAATGCTATGATGCCAGGAAGCCCCTGGATGCTCTCTTTCCTTTAAGGGGTTAAACCGCTTGCAAATGGTTTAACCTCAAAGGCTTCCTCCAGCTCCAGATTTCCAGGTCGCTCAGTGGTATTCGGCTTCTGAAACGGAGTGTCAGGAAGTGCAGATTGACGTCAGGCATGGGTTCTGATTGGCTAGAGTGGTCAGTTGACGCTCTAAGCCATTCGCTAGTTACTGGTTCAAAAAAATGTTTTACTTTTTTATGAATGGGGAGCTACTGATTAGCTTAGAGTGCCAGCTGACCGCTCTAGCCAATCAGCGACACCCCTCCCCAGCAGAGCCCTCTGTGTTTCCTGACACTCAGTAAATAAAAGAGAGCACATTAACACTGACTTTTTTTTTTTTTACCTGGGGAGATGAGAAGGTCCAAAGTTTCCCTGCCAGGCCCAGGTACCAAAGCCTTATGATGTGGTGTCCAGAATAAAGTGGAGGGTTCACTTGTTCTTCCTGCTCCAATCTCCTTTTCTTCTCCTTCATTTGACACAGTCTTCTTTTTCTTCTGACACTGTCTTCTATCCTCCTTGGCTCCTTCACCTTTCTGCTACTTTCTGCTTATTGTGCTCCCCCTTCTGCTCCTTTCTCTTTCTGATCCCTTTCTGCTCCTTCTCCTACTTTACCTTTGTGCTCCTTCTGATTCTTTCTACTCCTTTACCATTGTGTTCCTTCTGTCCCTTCCTGCTCATTGCAGACCCTTCCTTCTCCTTGCAGACCCTTCCTGCTCATTTCTGTTCCTTCTCCTACTTCACCTTTGTGCTCCTCCTGACCCTTCCTGCCATTTTCAGCTCTTTGCTGACCCTTTCTGCTCCTTCCATTTTACATTTGTGCTGCTTTACCTTCCAGCTCCTTATTGACCCTTCCACCTCCTTGTTGACCCTTCCACCTCCTTGTTGACCCTTCCTTCTCATTGTTGACCCTTCGTGTTCCTTGCAGACCCTTCCTGCTCATTTGTGTTCCTTCTTCTACTTTACCTGTGGTGCTTCTTGCTGTCCCTTTCTGCTCTATTCTTTATCCTTCCTGCTCCTTCTCTTACTTTACCTTCCTGGTCCTTGCTGATCCTTCCTGTAGGCTGTCCCCCCCCATCCCTTACTTACCTGATCTGTAGGCTATGTCTGCCCCCATCCATGCCTCACTTCCCTGATCTGTAGGCTATCTCTCCCCATGCCTCACTTCACTGATCTCAAGGCTATCTCTGCCCCCATGCCTGACTCCCCTGATCTGTAGGCTGTCTCTGCTCCCCCATACCTCACTTACTTGATCTGTAGGCTGTCTCTGCTGGCTGCATGTGTTGCTCCCCCTGCGGATTCAGTCAGAGAGAAGCAGGGATAAGATGCAGCTCCCTATCCCTGTCTCTCTCCATACACAGCGCCACCTACTGGCCGGCTCCGCACTGTATTTTCAATCTCACACGAAAATTAGCAGAACAAGCTGAAAAAGTCCCCCTGTGGACACCCATGCCCTGCAGTCACGCTGCTCGATTCTCTGACATTTTGGAGTTGAATCACTTTTGGTTTTCTCCTTATGCATCTCTAGCCACATCTCCCCTGGATGTGACTCTCATGGTCTGCAAAAAGAAAATGGTTTCATTTTCAAATAGATGTTAACTTACTTTAGAAGGTATCTCCTGTTCTCTAATTGAAGTTTAATCACACAAAGGAGACTTCTGCAAGACTAATAACAGAGCATGAGAGAAAACTTTCTAAATTAAACAGAATGTGCAATAAAATAAGTTTAAACATTAGACGAATCTTTACAGGAAGTGTTTAGGAACTCTGTAAAAGTCCCATACAGAAAGTTGTGATTAGGGCTGTGTAAATAAACTTATTTAACTCTTAAATGGCAGAGAATTGGGAAATGAGACTGTAGGAACATGCTCTATACCAGGCATAGGCAACCTTCGGCACTCCAGACGTTTTCGACTACACCTCCCATGATGCTTTGCCAGCATTACGGGTGTAAGAACATTATGGGGGATGTAGTCCAAAAGATCTGGAGTGGCAAAGTTTGCCTATCCCTGCTCTATACACTAAAACTGCTTCATTGAGATAAAGTTGCTTTGTCCATTTAACTTGTCAGTTTATAGCTGGTTCCTAATAATGGGGAAAAAAAGCACAATTCTGTATTAGATGGTTAATTCTCTTTTGAAGATTGATGCATAGTGGTATCTTGCCTATTGTAAGCACTAAGCACATGTTATGTAGTGGATTTTAAACTGTCTAAGGGATTAGGTGAATAATCTGCTTAACACGGTGTCCTGGTTTGTTTGGACTTGATAAGAAATATCTCCTTGTTATTTCAACAACATAACAGTTTGAATAATCTGAACATACTACAAACAGAAAACATACCACCAAAATTAGACAATTTCTGTAAATAAAATAATGGAACTGCAATCAAGTAGGTTTACCATTGATTTACCCAAGGTCAGGGCTGTCCAAGGTCTTCAGGAGAGGATGAATGTATTTTGTAATTGTTACTCTGACATGCAAAAGGAAGTTTGTTAGTATAATGAAAGTAATTAGATAACTCCATATGGTTTTGAAATGGGATGTCCACTGAACTCCTTTATGTTTAATCATCTCTAGTTTCAAGTTAGCTGGGAATGGACGAGAAGTTTCCTTCCTGCTCTCTCTTAACAGGCTGTCTCATAAGAGGTATTCAGTGTCAGTAAATAACTGCATCATGGAGAGTTGGTTTATGGGGTGTCAAGTATAATTTAATCGACATGTCGGCACCATAACCACATTAACACATTTTTGTAGTTTTATTCATATATATATATATATATATATATATATATATATATATGTATATATATATGTATATACAGTGATGTATGTGATACCCATATGGAAAGGTTACTCAGGGAAGCTGTAACGTTAAGTTAAGTTGTTTTTGTTTTTTTGTTTTTTACATATTGGTTTGCTGCACATAGCACTTTTGTGTGCTATTTTAATGTCCCTTAAATAAGACCGCTGCTTAAAGAAGTTGCCCCCATGGGGGGACGGGACAACAAACACTCTGAAAACAGAATCATGGTGCGTGGAGCCAAGCAGCCAGACGATCATTGTATGGACTCCGTATACTGTCACTGTATTTCCAACTTCCTGAGCGGTCACACGACTCGAAAATGGGGGTGCGGGCACACATACTTACTATGGGTCACAAGACCAAAAAAGGAAAAACCCGACAAGTCCAGGTCTGGTATTAATATCGAGGATCTCCTGAGACAAGTACATGGTGCGTGTGGGCCCAAAATGGTCTCTGACCTCTATGACTTTTCAGACTCTTTGGAGGAACTAATGTTGGGCAGGGGAGCTGCTGTCCTGCCTTCTGTTCCACAACCTGAGAGAGTCCAACGTAGTGCTGACTCCCAGCCTGTGACTACGGATACGCTAGAAGCTGCTCACCAACCTCCAGAAAACTATACAGGCGGATGTGGACACGCTCCTCTCAGACCTTAAGGGTGTCATGGAACGCATAGGACCCGTGGAAACAGCATCTGTAAACCAGTCACAAACTCACCTCACTTGAAAGAGAAGTGCAGAAGCCAGGTTTTTTTTATAACTTTCCTGGCACCACATTAGTGTCAACCATGCTTTGCGTTATGTTCATTATTTGTTTGGCCTGTTTGCCATTTACATATATTTTAAATCTTTTCAGATATCTGATTTACACACAGTCTTATGCTGTTTCTCCCCATCAGGCTTTGTTTTACAAATAATTACCAGATTTTACTAATTTCATGACGTAAAGTCATGATTTTATAAAGGACACGGAGGCGAGTATTATGCTTTCCTCTTTTTTATTCTTCAGCAGCAAAAGAAATATTGTATACATATTCCATGCAAAAAAGAAAACGATTCAATAACACCACATCATAACTTCTAAAGGGTTAATCAAATACCACATATGAACCAATTAGAGTGTCCCCATTACAACAAAATCCCATGTGACCCTAAGCCACTCCTCTTTCTTTTGGTGTTGCTAATGGACACTCCAAAATTCGGCAGTGAAAAAACAAACAGTAGACGTGTAGAGAAAAAACAGTGAATTCCAATAGAAGATGACGTCAGACGAAAAACTCAACAAATCCGTAAGAAAAAACTGGTCATCTTCCATCCGCACACTTGTGGGCATGCCTGAACCATTATGGCACTCCAATTAGGAAGCTGTAAGACAGAGAAACGAGATGGTAAAATATGTTCTTGGATAATATTTTTCCACGTTCATAATCCAAACTAGCTAGCACAAAATCATTCTCAATTTAGTCACTCAAAAGGCAATAAGATAGCACATTATCACACGGCTCCAGTCCCATAACATACATTATATTCCCAGAGGCGGGTAACTTACCTCTCGTGGGTGGGATAATACTCGCCTCCGTGTCCTCTATAAAATCATGACTTTACGTCATGAAATTAGTAAAATCTGGTAATTTTATTAAAGGACACGGAGGCTCCTATTATGCTAGTTCAAAGCTGTGTGATCACTGACGTGGAAAAATGGGAAACCGGACGGAAATAAAATTCACAGAATGTAGATTCTCTCGACCAATCGGCAGCTCGGAGGAGATCTTCCAATTTACAGCCTAATGAAAACGCTTTTGATGCCATCGCACCCCTCACTGAATGTGCTCCATACGTGGAAGTATCAATGCCCGCCGACGTCATGATCCATTTGACCCAGCGAGATAGGGTGACCGTAGAAACCGGACGATGCGGTTGTCGAATAGCCAGGAATAGGTCCGCACATTGAGGGCCTCGGACTGCAGCCGTCCTTGCTTCATACTCCTTGAGACAGGCTACTGGGCATAAGTTACTGTTGTGTGGAAAAGCAGGGTAAAAAACCTTCGTGATGGACGTTTTCGTACGCCTCGATATATCAAAGGCCACCCCTTCCGGTGTATATGAGCGTGCCTGAATGTCCAATGCTCGTACATCTGAGACCTGTTTACAGGAGATGAGGCAGAACAAAGTGACCAATTTTGCGGTGAGTTGCTTGATCGACAAATCTCCGTTCTTCGGCCAACTTTCAAAAAGTCGGAGAACGAGGTTCACATCCCATACCTCGGAATACAGAGGTCGTGGTGGTCGTGCAAATTTTATGCCTCGTAGGAGTCGACACACCATCGGGTGTTTCCGTTTGAATTCCATTCCAACCTACGTGGCCTGCTGAGATAGCTGATCTATAGAGATTAATTGTACGATACGCCAGGCCGTGGTCGAAAAGTGAAGTAAGGAAACCCAGGACGTGACTCACAGTTGCAGATATGGGATCCACGTGTTGTTCCACGCACCAACCATACCATGCGTTCCAGGCATGTAAATATGATTTTCTTGTAGCCGGGGCCCAAGCTCCTGCCAGGAGGTCCAGAGTCGTTTGTGGAACATTTGGGGTGTCATCGAGTCCCCTGAAAGGAGCCATGCCAAAAGCTTGAGATGTCCCTGTAGTATGAGAGGGTGCGGATTGCCATAGGGATCCAGGAGGATGTTGTTGTGTACTGGCAGTAACCTCGGCAGGTCTATGGACAGTTCCAGGAGTGTAGGGAACCAGGGTTGAGACGTCCAGAAGGGAGATACGAGGATTAGGGATGTCCGGTGTCGTCTGAGGTGCAGCAAGGTCTGTGCGATGAGTGAAAAGGGGGGAAAAGCGTAATGTCTGGTGTGCGGCCACGGTTGTCGGAAAGCGTCTACCGCCAGAGCCTCCGGATCTGGCCTCCAACTGAAAAACTTCAGTAACTGCGTGTTCAGCCGTGACGTGAACAGGTCGATGTCCAGCGGCCCCCACAGTGATTGCAAATGGCTGAAGATGGCCGGGTTCAGCCGCCAGCATCCCGTAGATGTATGGAGTTCCAATCCGCTACTACATTGCTCATTCCCGGGATGTGTTCCGCTTGCACTGATATGTTGCGGTCCAGGCAGAACTCCCAGAAATCCTTCGCCAATTCCGCAAGTATTGCTGACCTCGTGCCCCCGAAGTGGTTGATATATCGAACTGCGGACACGTTGGCAATTGATATGAAGTCCCTGTTCCTCCCTGGACCATCTTCCTCCGGTGGAGAAAGGTCCGCAGCGCGCACCCCAACTGAGCAAGCTTGCATCGGATTCTACTACGAGGTCCGGCGCCGTTCCGAAGATCGCGCGGCCATTCCAGGCTTCCATGTGTTGTAGCCACCATTTGATTTCCTCTTTGGCGGCACAGTCGAGAGGAACAGAGTCAGAGTATGAGTGTCCCAAATGAAGGTATTTTGCCTTCAACCGTTGAAGTGCTCTGTAATGTAGGGGTCCGGGAAAAATGGCCTGAATTGACGCCGAGAGGAGGCCCACAATCCTGGCCAGCTGTCTCAAAGTAAGGACAGGACGTCTGAGCGTCCGCCTGAGCTCCTTTTTGATGGCCTTGACCTTGGTCGTTGGGAGTAGGAGCGTTCCGGTCACCGCGTTTATGGTGAATCCCAGAAACTCTATAGCTTGCGAGGGTTCGATGACCGACTTCTCCCAGTTGATCAAAAAGCCCAGGTTTTCTAACAGATTTCTCGTCCAAGAGAAATGTTCTTGCAACAGAAGCGGGTCCTGGGCCATGATGAGGATATCGTCCAGGTATATTATGAGCCGTACGCCCCTGCTGCGTAGGAGGGCGACCACTGGTTTCATGAGCTTTGTGAAGCACCAGGGAGCCGATGAGAGGCCGAACGATAGGCATTGGAATCGCCACACGGTCTCTTCCCAGCGGAATTGCAGGAAGTGGTGGCAATCGTTGGCCATTGGGACCATGAGGTATACGTCCTTCAAATCGAGTTTGACCATCCAGTCCCCTGTGAGGAGGAGGTCCCGGAGGGAATGTATACCTTCCATCTTGAAGTGGTGGTACGTGACAAACATGTTTAAAGGTCTCAAGTTGATGACTGGGCGGACACCTCCGCCTTTTTTGGGTACCAAGAATAGGTTGCTTAGGAAACCCGGTGTGGTAGAGGGAACAGTATAGATTGCCCCCTTGGAGGCTAAGGCCTGGACCTCTTGAGTTATCAACTTCCGGTCCCATGTGGGGAACACCATTCGGCCGGGGGGTTCCAGTTGGATCGGGTATTGCACGAAGTCTATAGAATAACCCCGGACCGTGTGGAGCATCCAGGCATCTGCAGTGATCATGTGCCATGCTTTGACAAAATGGTCCAGTCTGCCCCCCACCATAGTTAATGCAGACATATGAGGAGGTAGCGCACTTACCATAAGGTCGTCGCCATATGAAGAGCCTCTGGGTCCTCGGGTTTGCCATGGTCTGCCTCGAACCGGGAAAAATGGTGAGGCTTGTTTGGGTTCCAGGGGTGTGAATCTAGGTTGCACGGAGCCACGGTATGAGCCCCGGGGTGAGCGGCCGGGCAGACGGCCCCGATATCTGCCGGCCCCGCCAAAAACCCTCTGATGGAACACTCGCTTCATGCTGGCTTGAGCCTTATCAAGTGCCGTAAAGGTGCCCACATACGTGCCTAGTTCTTTCACAAAGTTATCCCCGAATAAGAGGGCTTTAGCCTGGGGACCTGGTTCTGAGATAGCCAGGTTAACTAGTTTAGGCTCAATTTTAATTAAATTCGCCTTGCGCCTTTCTGTGGCCACTGCCGTATTCGCATTGCCCAGGAGACACACGGCACGTTGGATCCATCCCCTGAGGGCTTCCAGGTCCAGCGGTGCACCCCCTGCCAACGCGATTTCGACCATATCGAACATCCTCGCGATCGGGCCAAGGACGTCCAATACCTTATCCTGGCAATTTCGCCAGGCAAAATCCAGGCCCTTCTTGGCCTTCCAGCCAGATTTTCCCAGGAATTGGGCGATTTTTGGGTCCACTTCCGGGGTGGCGCATGCCATATCCGGGACCGTGGGGCGTGGGCACTCTGCCTGCAGTTTGTTTCGCGCCACCTTATCCAGTGGCTTTCTGATGCCGGCAGCGATATATTTCGCTACGTGGTCCAGAGGGTACCACTCGGAGGACCTCGGGTGCTGTAGGGTATCCGGGTCGAACAATGGTTCACCCTGAGGGTCAACTAAAGCGGAGTCGTCAGCTCCATTCTTATGGTCCATGTCCATGCCCGCAACGGAGCTATAGCCCCGCAAGTGAGTCTCAGTAGAGTCATCATTATAATCATCAGAGTCCTCCTCCTCGGACTCGCTCTGAGCCTCCTCTAGCTCCGATTCAGAGTCGGAGGATTCCAGTAGGGCCTTAGCCCTCTTCCATTTCCTCATTGATTTTGCCCGGTGGGGGGCTCTTAGTTGTGGTCCAACCACAGGTTCTGTGACAGGACGTGTCCTGTCCGTCTGTAGGGTTTTGGAGGCATAATCGTAAAAATGACGAGACTTTTTAGCGGCCTTACGCCCACTGGGGGCCACTGGCTTATTCTCTGGGGGGTTAGCTGGTAATTGCGTGGCTCTCATCGCCGTGGTTATGGAATGGGATAAATTCTCTGACATGGCACCCATGGCAGTAAATATAGCCTGCGTTACAGACTTCGCCATAGCCGCGTCTAAGAGGGAATGCAATTCCTCTGAGTCCATATGCTCCTGCGCTGTTTCCAACGCTGTGGGCATTTTGGGGCCCTGTAAGGGAGGGGTGGGTATGGTGGCTCTAGGTGTAGTGGCACTATAAGCACTGTGTTCAGCCTGCATGTTTGGGATGGACGGGCGGTAAATACAGGCAAGGCTGAGACTTATACCCCTTCAGCAAATTAATAGAGTGGCTAACTCCCAACTACAGTAATGAGAAATACACTAGCAGGCACCAGACACCAATGTGGGGCAAGGCACAACAGATATACAAATAGAATCAACAAATGCAGCAAGCTCACCGAGTGTTCCCTCAGGAATAAGCTCCTGGGGAACACAGGGAGAGTTTGCCCAGCAACAGGGAGTAATTACCGCCCCCAAACGCACAGTATTGGCCGCGCTAGCAAAAGCGCGGCAAAACTGCCATTCCCAAGATGGCCGCCGCGATGCGCACTTGCGCGACCGGCAGCGACCGGCAGCGGTACCCGTGCGAGGGGAGAGAAAACCAGAGGGGAGTGGGTAGCAAGAGAAGAAACGGTCGGGAAATAAACAACCCGACCGGAGATAGGAGGGTGGGGGGGGCTGGGAAGATAGAGAGGGAAATACTACAGTGAGGGCAAAGACCCAAAAGAGACAAACCAAAAGGATTAAAAATGCATATTAACCCTGAGGGCAAAGAAAAACTATTTAAAGGTAAACTGACTGAAAAAACAAAGCTATTAACTGTCAGCAACAGAGGAAGGAAAAAATGTTGTACTTATCTGAGGCTGCAGCAGCAAAAGAAAGAGGAGTGGCTTAGGGTCACATGGGACTTTGTTGTAATGGGGACACTCTAATTGGTTCATATGTGGTATTTGATTAACCCTTTAGAAGTTATGATGTGGTGGTATTGAATCGTTTTCTTTTTTGCATGGAATATGTATACAATATTTATTTTGCTGCTGAAGAATAAAAGAAAGAGGAAAGCATAATAGGAGCCTCCGTGTCCTTTAATAAAATTGTTCCTCTGCCTCCCATTTTTCATATTTAAATTCACCTTAGCTGTTTAAGTTATAATACTTTTTCTTATTGGTGCATGATCGTTGGCAATAGGCAGTGATTAAGCAAACTTACTTTGTTTGTTGCAAAGCTGATTTACCCACAATCCATCAGTCAAAAGAATCTCACAGAATGGAAAAATCAGACCGAGAACAAAAATATACTGATATTCAGAGCCAATACAAGTAAGGGCAAGTGAAAAAGGGCATAATGAAAGGAGAAAAAAAAAAAATCACTTGTTTTAACCCCACAGAATGTCCTATGCCATCCTAAACAATTTCAGAAAGCCCTTTGTTTATATGTCAAAGGGACAATAGTCACCAGAACAACCACAGCTTATTGTATTTGTTCTGGTGAATAAAATCATTCCCTTCAGGCTTTTTGTGGTAAACACGATCTTTTCAGCCTAGTGATATCTCCACTGACCACTCCTCAGATGGCTGCTACAGCTTACACTCTGCATGAAGACGCTGAACTTTTCTCATAGAGATGCATTGATTCAATGTATCTCTATAAGAAGGTGCTGACTGGCCAAGCCTTGTTTGGCTCCACCTCCAGCCAATCCAATGATTTTATATGGGGGGGGGAAAAAAATGCAGAGGATGTCAGCAAGGAGGCGGATCGGGGTGTGCGGCCAGCACCGTCAGACCTGCATGCTGCTGGAAAGAAGTTACGTTTTATTATCTTTTAAAGGGGCTAAGGCGGGTGGTCACACAAATTACACTAGGGTCAGGAATAAATTTGTCTTCTTTTAATATCAAAATACACTTAGTATCTCAATAAAACTTGTATTTTTAAGTAATCTTTTTACATAATTGTTTTTATTAATTTCATTTTGAGGGACCTGCCTGACAATCCTAGCAGAAAGTCCAGAGAATTTAATTTGCAAGCCCTATAGTTAAATCTGTAACTTCCCAAAACACGAGAAAAACCTGTAAATGGGGGATACTGGTGTACTTGAGGGACTTCGCTGAACACAAATTTGAATGTTTCTTAACCGTAAAACATATCAAGATGATAACAGTGAAATTGCAATTTTGAATAGCCTTGGTTGTTTACTTTTGCAAATGGTATGCCAGGATGGGGGTAATGTTCATTCCCCTGGCTGCCATACGGTCTCAAAGGCAACATAACCAATCTGGCAAATTTAAATGAGTAAAAACTGAAAAGAGGAAAGCCCTATATTTGACCCTGCAAGTTTCCAAAATCCCATAAAGGACCACTATAGTGCCAGGAAAACAAACTCGCTTTCCCGGCTCTATAGTGTTACTAGGTCCCACTCCCGCTGGGCTGGAGGGGTTAAAACACTTACCTTTCTCCAGCGCTGAGCTCCCTGTGCCGCCCATAGGAAAACATTTCTCAATGCTTTCCTATGGACGTCGAGTGTCTTCTCACTGTGATTTTCATGGTGGGAAGCGCCTCTAGCGGCTGGATAAACCCTGCAGCTGTAAACATAGCAGTTTCTCTGAACACTAGAGGGACCTGGCACCCAGACCACTTCATTTAGATACACTGGTCTGGGTGCCTATAGTGGTCCTTTAATAGCGGTTGTACTCGTGAGACATCACAGAACGCAAATGTGCATTTTATTGGAGTAAAGGCCAATAGTATGATGACATTTAGTTAAAATGCCATGCACACCTAAGAAAATAAAATTTCTTAAATTTCTCACTTTTTTTTTTTATTCATGTAAAACGGTTTCCTATATAAATATTGGATATAAAATGAAAGCCCTGCTTCTCCTGAACACAATGATATACAAGTGTGGGCTCACTTAATATGAAAGAGGTAAATTATGGTTGAACAGTCACAATCCAGGTTTTGTTTTTATCAGAATTTGGACAATTGCCTCTGTCCTTAATGGGTTAAGGACAGATTTAAAGATCCCATATCAAAAATTACAGCTCCATATACAAAACAAACAGAACATTCTATACAATCATCAGGTCTTTCAGGACTGGTTAGTGATTGATAAAGGTTATGAATGTGGTAGCTAAGGTACACTAGAGTATTTCTTCTCTCCACCATTCAGCGTTATACCATTTTCTAATATTTTAACACTGTGGAACCCTGGCTGCCCAGAGCCACCACCCGTTACCCAATTTCCAATTCATACCAGCAATGGCAGCTGTTATAGGCAAGAGTGATCCACCAATTGCTGTAGTCCAATTGGACCTTAATTAAGTGTTAAGCCACAAATAGTTTAACACTAAAAGGAAGGATGGCACCAAGGGACTACAGGCACTATAAGAAATTAAATAAGATGAAGTGGTTACAAATGCCTAAGGGCTAAAGTGTTTGGAAAGACTTTTCACGCTTGTTATTTTTATACAAAATACAGCATGGATATGCTTTCTTCACTTAACCCTCACTATAGTCTAACGCCAGCCAAGACCTCAAGGTACGCCAGTAGAGGTATTAGGAATTTCCCAATTCTCTTCCTATGAGGATGCCAACACCCAAATTAATTGTGTGTCTACAGGACTCTTGGAAACCGCTAGTCTTACCCACTACACCATGTTTTATTTTATTCACCCAATAAGCATGTGCTTCTCCTGCATTCTAATCTCAAGCACCTTACCGGCCGCTTCTCACAGGCCACTCGAGTCCGCCCCCACAAGGTGCTACGTTTGTTCTAATTAGATTTTAATAGCTTTTTACCTAATAAACTGCTTGAACAACGATGTGCTGAATTTGCAAGATTTATTTAAACAAAATCAACTTAGAAATATCACTGAATTAAACAAAAGCTTTTGAACATGTAAACTTAAATTGTCACGTTTCTCAAAAAGGGTTGAATTTCATTTTTATTTTATTAGGTCCATGAAAAATTAAAGGGGAAAAAAAAACCTTTCATAAAACAGTTCAGTTTATTCCAAAACATTCAATGCTTTTAACCATTAAAGAAAGGTGCCAGAAGTTCCAAGGACTATGATTTAGTCTGATGCCTGAAATAACTTGCAATCACATGAAGAGGAAAAAATATAAAGCCATTGATCAGTACCATTGGAAACTACCGATATTGTGTTTATACTGAGGTTGTAGCAGTCCGCAAGACATTACATTTGACATGGCTTCTCTTGTACATTATATTTTCCAGAGCGATGTTATTTATAGAAAGAGAAAATGGGGGAAAGGAGAACATTTGGTAAGGCTATTTACAAGGTATGACTTACCATGCACAAAATACAGATACAAAGTTAGCTGTAGGTTTAATAAAATGCAATTGTAGTGCCTGGAGTGGTGATAAAACCACACACACACCGTTTTAAAAATCAATACAGCCTGAAGCTGGAATAAGCATTTTGAATTACAGCTGCAGTATCTTTATTATAAAAACACTAAACTTGTTCAATGAAATCTACATATACGGTCTACGTACTACAGGTTAAGGCAGAAAACAAAATATTTCCTGATTACTGGAAGTCTTGACATTGTCAATTAAAGCTTGGGGAGCCATTGTATCAATCTAAATAGTCCAGCACAGAGTGTTAAAGAATGGGAGAAGAAAAAAAAAGTCTTGGTTAGGGTCAAACCAAAAACAGTGAGTTACTCAAAGACATATAGCCATTTTACAAAACATGATTGACCGTGCTGTGGGTAAAATAGATGGATTAAAAGCCATCAAGCAGATAACAATTATATCAAAAGGATGAAAAGACTTAAGAACACAATGTCACGCCTTAAAATTATTACATAAAAGTTGTTTAAAAGGGGACAGTCAAGACAAAAATGTAATGAAACACATGCTCAATTTTCATAATTCACTGCCGTTCAGTCTGTAATAGTCCTTATTTTAACTTCATGTTAACTCTTGAACTTGTGATGTTGCTATGGGGCAGTACATAGCTAGTGCATACAATGCATTTAGATATAAAAGTTAGAAAAAAGTGACTTTTCACATGAGGATAGCAGAACTGCCGTTTCACATAATCATCCCAGATGGTTGTACTATTTGAAACACGTTGGGGTACAATTTTAATGTAAACTGCTCACCATTTTGTAAAATCAGGAATTAAGTTCTCTCTCTTTTTTTTTTTTTTTAAACAAATTTATATGTTCCAAGTTGGCAAAACAAAAAACAGCCCACCTCCCCCTCACAAATCAGGATCTTCAAAATGTTTCCAGTACTTTCTCACGTTGACCTCGTATGTTAAGCATATTTTTACTTTTCCTTTATTTCCTCCTGTTTTAAGCAAGGTCATGTTGATATCAGCTTTAAAAATTCTGACAATTTATATAAAATTCTGTACATGTTCACAAATTATTGCATAAACCGCATAATCTCCAAGACAGTGTCTGAACATGTGATCGATATCATCTAAGAAAAATCACGTTTCCCTTCGGGCCTTTTTCTTCTTTTTCACTTGTTTTGGAGATTCCCAGTTCTCTTCAGCTTTACCTAAAATATAAATGTTTGTCATTGGTAAGAATGTTTTCTGTGTTTTTTTAAATCTAAGAATTCATGCTATCTGGAAATGTTATGAGTAATACAAAGAATAAAAACCATACAACACAAGATTAAAAAACAAATTGACATAACTGGAACATATTTGATGAAACAGGACTACCCACATACTGTCATCTCTTTGCTTGGCCATCTTCTAATTTCTGACAGCATTAAATATGCACTGACCACTATAGTCTCATCCAGGTGAGAGTATAAAATGAAATAGTTAGAAAGAACGGTGAGCTCTATGATGCAGGCTTTATAAGGGAATAACCCTTTAGTAGTAATTAATTAGCTAAACTCGGAAATTGCAAACAGGTATATAATACAAATGAAAATAAAGATTAAAACGTATTTGTTACATTTAAAATAAAGAAGAACATCTTTAAATATGACAGTGAGAAAAAGGTACTATCGTGAAAAACAATATATATATATATATATATATATGAATTTGATAGACCCTATGGAAAAGAAGAAGAGAGAAAAGAATATATGTTTAGCTGGATTCTAGTTAGCTCCAGTTCCCTTGTATTATCAATCAGCAAGACTTAGTAGCGATTAGCAAGAAATGTATCTCGTAGTTGCTACTTGGAGAGAATAGCAAAATGTTATAAAGTAAATATGCAATCAAGGGTAGTGACGGTAGTAGCTAGTTAAACTACAGTATCAGAAAGAAAAACGTATTAAATAGTCCATGTATTATCAACCTGAATAATATGGAGCTATCTAGGTTTAGCTGATAATTATAACGGAGGTTCTAAACTGTGCCTTCATGGTCACTTAATTTATTACAGGTACTGACTATACAGCCTATATATCTAGTTGTCTGTGAGAGAGTAAATACTGATTTGCTTTGGTAATGAGTGTCTAAGATACAGTACACTTGAGGTCTGTGTGTGCCTTCAGGGGCACCTATCATAAGATAAAGCTTAACACCCAGAATCAAGGCAGCTCCTATCATAAATCAGGTAATCCTGGCTCAGAAATAAGACGGCTGCACTCCAGTCTCCTAGGAGTGTCATCCTCTCAAACAGTAAAATGCCGCCAAGGGGGAGTTTTAAAAACTCTAAAGTATTGAGGAAGTTGTAATGAGTGATCTGAGCAGAGTCCCGACGCGCGTTTGGCCAGGCAGAGTTTAGAATCTCCGCTAACAAAATTCAAGCCAAAACATTCTTTTCTCTCTTCTTTTCCATAGGGTCTATCAAATTCATATATATATTTATTACCCTTTTCTCACTGAGTGATATTTAACCCCTTAAAAAGGACCAAACTTCTGGAATAAAAGGGAATCATGACATGTCACACACGTCATGTGTCCTTAAGGGGTTAAAGATGTTCTTTATTTTAAATGTAACAATAAATGATACATTTTAATCTTTATTTTCATTTATATACTTGTGGGCAATTTCCAAATTTAGCTATAAAATGAAATACAAAATGTAAGTAGGCTAAAAACCGTAGAATCTACATAAACCGTCTGGCACTCATTTAACCTTTAAATATCTGCTGCTCACTGTGCGAGAACATTCCTTACCTCAGCCACTCAGTGATCAGTGGCTGACCTCGAATGGAATGCATGCTAGCCAATAACAGATTTTACCTTTACAGCATATTTACAAAATCAAATTAACTCACCTTCTCGGTTTCAAAATAACTTTTGAATGTATTAAACAGGGTTGTCCAACCTGCGGCCGGGACCGCTAGCAGTGCGGCCTAGTTGCCTTCTACGCTGCAGGGAGGCGAGGGAAGCCCTTTACATTCTGTGCTCCTACTGGACAGCTCCCTGTAGTGAGCCAGCCACCAGGATATGACGTCATCCTGGCATCGGCATCACTGCTGGGTGCGCAATGGACCTGTGAAAAGAGGTCCCAGCCCAGCAGCAACCACTGGCCACCAGGGACAGAGGATCCATTCCAGAGCAATATTGTGTGGACCTCTTTAGTACGAAATGTGTATGGGATTTTTGTGTATTTTTGTGTGTGTGTGTGTGTGTGTGTGTGTATAGGTGTGTGTGGGTCTGTAATTTAGTGTGCGTGCGCATGCATATGTATATACAGGTCTGTGATTTGGTGTGGGCGCGCGCATATGTATATACATGTGTGCGCATACGTATATACATGTGTATGTGTTTAGCAGATGGCTACCTAAGTTGGTATCCTTACAAGGGCACTATATTTACCAGTACAACTACAGCTTATTGAATTTGTTCTGGTGAGTATAATCATTCGCTTCAGGTTTTTTGCAGTAAGCACTATTTTTAGAACAGGCAATGTTTACATTACAGCTTAGTGATAACTCCACAGGCCACTCCTCAGATGGCTACTAGAGGTGCTTCCTGGGGCAGTGCTGCACATTGTGCAGTACTGTCATTTAGTGTCTCCACCTTCTGCATGCAGACACTGAACTCTCCTCATAGAGATGCACTGATTTAATGCATCTATGAGGAGATGCTGATTGGCCAGGGCTGTGTTTGACTTGTACTGGCTCTGCCTCCTTGATAGTCTCAGCCAATCTTAAGGAAAAGCATTGAGATTGGTTAAGAGAATAAGTTCTGATGAGGTCAGCAGACTGGTATAAAAGATTTTACTATATTTACAGAAGCAAGAATTGGGGGGGGGACGGGACCAGGAGCGCTAGACGGTGGTTTTAACACTATAGGTTTAGGGATACAAGTTTTTGTTCCTGACCCTACAGCGTTCCTTTAAATATTAGGATAACAAATTTAGGGAAAGGGCTCTGGAAGTTTTAATATATAAAGTAATTATATTTGACCCTGTAACTTTCAAAAACATAAAACCAGTAAATGGTGGGTGGGGGGGGGGGAGGGATGACACGGCTATACTAGAGAGACTTCGCTGAACACAAATATGAGTGTTTCAAAACAGTAAAATGTATCACAACCATGATATCGTCCGTGAAAAACAAATAAAACGCTATCTTTGGCCAGTGTTCCTTTGAAATTTGCCAAATTAGTTATGTTGCCTTTGAGACCGTATGGTATCTAGTAGACAACTTAGTCACAAACACTGACCAAAGTTAGCGTTAATATTAGTTTTTTTGCATTTTTCACAAACAAATATAAATACTAACTTTTGCCAGTGTTTGTGACACTGTGGCTACTACAAAAGACTGGACATTTGAATTCACTGGGCTGTCTACTTTTTCAAATGGTATGACATGGTAGGGTTAATTTTCATTTCTGGGCTGCCATCTGCAACATAGCCAATCTGGCGAATAGCAATTTACAAAAATAGAAATTGGCAAATCTTATGTTGGACCCTGTAACTTTCCAAATCACCATAAAACCTATACTTGAGGCGTACTGTTGTACTCGTGAGACATTCACTCACTCTGTATGTAGAGTAGTGAATATAATATAATATACACACACAATTTCCTAAATGTATAATATATTATAAAATAAAGCATTTTATATTATACATATATAGGATTACATAAGTGTATTTTGATATATATCTGTATATATCTCAAAGTACACTTAATGCAAATATGAGATACATGATACAATTATTTAACCATTTTATATTATACATGTACAATATATTTTCTTTTTTACATTTTAGGTGCCTGGGGGACTGCCTGATTTTTCAGGCAGTCCCCCTGCTGGCAGCTGCATAGACTTCTATTGTAGCCATGTGATCACATGGCCCTGGAGGGCCGGGGCTGCAGCAGGGGGATTTCATAGAGGAAGTGGGGGCTTGAACACACCTGATACCAGTAGGGACAGGGACACTATAATGTTAGCAATACGGATTCATATTCCTAACATGATTGTGTTCCTTTAAGCAAATTTAAAAGGCAGAAGGGGCATGACAAAGTGACAATAGGTCATGTTTGTCATCATGATAGATGAACCTTGACAAATAAAAATAAGTAAACTTTGAATTCAGAATAGAGGAGTGGAATTAAATAAAAATCATTTGAAGGATAATCAATTAATAGGACTTAACACAATACAGCTTAGCAATGTTTATGTGATTTGCATGGATATTAAGCTCATTGTGTGCACAACAAAGTGTTTAAAGAAGATTTCAGAACATGCAAGCACTTTATAAGCACAGTTTAAAGGAAGGGGAAAAGTGGTTTCAATTACTTTGCATACATATTTAAAATTAATAGCATATTCTAACCTTGTAGTGGTGGAGGCACAATGTTCTGCTTGTTAACTGATGGGCCTTTCTCTTGAGACTGCTGCCCCTTGGAAGAACTCTTATCCGAAAGTGTGTTTATTACCGGTGACTCCATGAGTACAGTAACTGGACGATTTTCCTCTTCACACTTATTTTTGTTTTAAAGGGGAAAAAAATAATAATATATAGCTATTTAAAAACAGGCTGCATGTTAGTCTCCTTAATATGCAGTGTTAAATCAATTCAAATAGTAAATATGTTCTTGAACATTCAAAGAATATTGTACAATATAAAAGGTTCACAACACATACATCAGAAGTTTAATACACTGCTTTTGAATGAGGTATAGGTTACAATATAAAAATAATCAAATCTTCAGCAGTGTTCTCATATGCTATCAGCAAATAATTTAGAATTTTACTAGTGCTTGCTAAAAGCCAAATGATGACATATATACAAAAACAAATGGGCTCTTATCAAACCAGGAAGTGGCTCACCTTATTTAACTTTCTATAGCAAACCTGAATGTATCCACAAATTTTATGGACACAGCAAGTGTTCTGCGAGTTGCGCGTTCAAATAACAGCGAACAGCTAAACTACAACTCCCAGAAGTGCAAGTCATGATATCATGTGTAGCAGTATTTGTGGAGCAAAAAGGCAAGCACAGCACATAAGGTTTGTGGAGCAAGAATTAGGTTATTGCACAGTTAGAGCCTTGGATGGCCTTCCAATGTAAATATACAAAATGACAACAGAAAACAAAACAAAAGCCATACCTTCTTTAATTCGCTATTCTTTTTCTGTTCACTGGTCTTTTTCGGCTCATTATTTTTCTTCTGTTCATTCGTTTTCTGCTCATTGGCCTTTTTTGGTTCACTGCTCTTCTGCTCACCGGCTTTTTTCGGTTCACTGGCCTTTGGTTCACCAGACTTCTTCTGTTCAGTTGCCTTCGGTTCACTGGTCTTTTTAGACTCACTGTTTTTCCTGGGTTCACTAGGTTTTTTTTGCTCATTAGTCTTTTTCGGCTCACTAGTCTTTTTCGGTTCATTGGTCTTTCCTGCATTGACTGGAGTAATTTTTGTTGTTTGAGGGGGTGCTTCAGGAGTATGTTCTTGGACATTATTCACTACATCACCATCATTCCCTTCAGTATCCTATTTAAATAGAATAAAGAGTCTTTTACTACATGTCTGATACAACATTTTAGTAGGAAAGGCTGCCAATTTTTATTGACTAGAATCCAGCTCCAGTACAAGGTGATAATCTACACAATGATTTTATCTGTGATCGCTGTAAGAGAGGTAGATGTGTTAAGGCATGCTTTAGAAGAAAAACTATGATGAAAGACACTAAAGCACTAACATGCATGAGTAATAACAGAGCGAATTTTACTTGTGTCCACACCATAAAATTTTTCAATAGAATATCAATAGAGGAGATTTATGTAGGTGTAAAATTCCCAGATGCCCAGAACGTGTATGCTTCTCATTTGCTTACTTGTGTAGGAGAGCCAGACTCTTCTCCCTGCTTCTTCTTCTTTTTCTTCTTCTTCTTGGTTTTACCACTTGAAGAATTTTGAGCAGCTGATTCATCCTTCTCATTGTCAGAAACCTGAGTTTAAGTGAATGAAAAACCATGTTCTCATTTTCAATGCACATAAGGAAAATGCAATGAGAATAAACTAAATAAATAAATCTCTTCTGGCACTCTCCACACCATCTGTAGACCACACATCCATTCTACAGAGCAAAGATCAGCGCTACAAAAAGATAAATAACGTATTCACCTGGAATGATATGCTAAGGGGGCATCTTACTGCTGCACAGGCTGGCAAGGAGAGCTTCACTACATCACATCAAGTAGGTGCAGACAACTATTGCCAATTCTCAAGGTTTTAGACCAAACAGAGCTCTCACGGTAATTTAGATCTTAAGGAGATGTTGACTACAATCTCTGCCCACCATATAACTAGGGTGCAGAATCATAACCCCCCTGGAAATCCCAGTAATTTCTACTCTCCATAGACACATCCCCACAAGAAGTCTTCCCACACACAGTTATGCATGTGAAAAAAAAAGGACAAAATTGACAGGATGGAAGTTAAATGTTGGCTATATATGTTGAATTATAGGCATTTAGGCTCTAAACTAGCTATTTTATATCTGCGACTGTTATAAGACTAGCTCCAGACAGACAAGCAGTACATGCAATGCTCCTCTGTAGTCCTGTGATGTCTGTGAATGAGTGAATGGACTTCAAATGTCACTACAGAAGAACAGATGTGAAACTGCATCATGATGGAGCTGGGATTTTTATTTTTTTAACTGCAATGTTTACACAGCATGGCTAAGACCACCTTTAGAGGCTGTCAGTATCACAGCCACTAGAGCATCTACTGCACTAACCGAGTAAAACTTGGTCACATGACACAGAAGCCACCATAATTAAGCTTTGACTCAATGCTTTTTCTATAGGGAAGGTTGAATGTACATGTGGTGCTTGCCCACTCATGGTCATTTTATGGTCTATCAGGATCATTGGATTGAACCATCTGTGATGTTACAGAGGTAGGGAGGTGAACAGCACTTTTTTTTTTTTTTTAATTACATTTTAAATGGGGTGGGGTGGGGTGGTTGTATTCCCAATGCCATAGTGTAGCGCAGGGGTTCTCAACCCAGTCCTTGGGACCCCTTACCAGTCCAGGATTTGGGGATTACCTGGGTGTGTCTAAGGTGTTTAGAAAAAGGGGGGAAAAAAAACACCTTAGACTCTAAGGTGTTTTTTTTTTTTTTTTTCTAAACACCTTAGACACACCCAGGTAATCCCTAAACCCTGGACTGGTAGGGGGTCCTGAGGACTAACGTTGAGAACCCCTGGTGTAGCAGGACTTAAAAGGAGTACTACAATGATATTAAAGGTTTCATTTTGGGCGAGATTCATTATGAAAGATTAATTGCTGGAGTAACAATACCATAAAATATTGCCTCAAAATAAAAACAGACCTTTAGAGCTTCTTGTTCAGGGTCCTCCGGTTGGCCTTCGGTCACTGGTTCTTCTTCATCATAGTTTCCCCAAACTTCAGCTGGAGCATTCCAATCAGAACTGGGATCAGTTGAACTTAAACCATCTGTGGACAGTAAAGTTTACCGTATTATACCAACTCAAAACATTTCTGTTCAATACTAAGCAATAAGTACTGTAAAAAATAAAGACGACATCATTCATTGGCGGGCATTCCATACAACTCAATGACAGACATAAGTGTGCATGCAAATTCCCAGTACCCTTTTACCACATATTCGTACAATACAAAAAAAGGTTTTTACAAGTGAATGATAACAGTCAAATAAATATTAGTGAATTAAATTTATTCAAAACAAATTCATGGAAATTGCTGCTGTAGGCAACTATGGGGTTAAATCATTCGACAACACTTTAATCCCTTGAAGTAAGAGTGCCTCTGGGCAACAGAACTTTATTTAGATGAAGTTGTTTTGGTGCATGGAGTGTCCCTTTAACCCCTTAAGGACCAAACTTCTGGAATAAAAGGGAATCATGACATGTGACACGTGTCATGTGTCCTTAAGAGGTTAATAACACGCCCAGTGTAGAAAGATAAAAATAAAATTGAGGGCAGGACGATGGTGCATTTTGTGGTATATGGATAACTCACAGATTTAAAAAAAAAATAAATGCATACCGTTAAATGTCATGTGTGGTGATCGCTGCATCTACCTCAATCTTGTCATTATGACAAATTATACCAATGCATCTCTATGGGAAAGCTTCCGGAATCTTTATAGAGGGAAGATGATCATAGGCATTGCAAAATCTTAATAAGATGCACCTAGAGGTGTTCTTGGAGACAAATGGGAAACACTACCTTTTCACAGTGTTTACAATGCAGGGACAGGCTCTTTAAGCACCAGAACCACTACAGTTTATTGTAGTGGTTTTTGAACAAATTGTGCCTTCAGTTGCATGAGAGAGAGAGAGAGAGAGAGAGAGAGAGAGAGAGAGAGAGAGGAGAGAGAGAGAGAGAGAGAGAGGAGAGATATATGTATATATAAAATAATGAGGTAGAGATAGGTGGAAAAAAAACAAACAAAAACAAACACCTGAATACTATACATACTTAATCCAGACCATTCGTCATCCATGGAGGGTTCTGCAGGTCCCACATCCCACTGGCTATCAGAGACATTAGGCTGAGCAACTGGATCACTAACCACAGCTTAAAAAAATTAAAATATATATATAAAATTATATTTAAAAACAGGAAAACAAGTGTTTTTGGGTGCACAGTACATAAAGCAGTTATAAACAATGATATAGCACTGGGACAAAATTTGAATTTTTCAGGTTTTGTAAATCGAGACTCAATGGTGATTTTTTTTACGGTAAGATATTGAATGAAACAATCAATACTGGAATGTTTACAATGTGTCACAACCTGAACACTAGCAGGATTTGTGTTTCTCCATTTCATGTCCATTCATATAAGAGACAATTTTTCCTACACAGGCCACCAGCAGAACAGTTAACAGATTAATAAAAGGAAAACAAACTGCAGTTACAAGAGAGTACACAAACTTCAGATTTTTAATATTTATTACTATTTAAACTACCTTCATCTACTATTTCAGTACTGGACCACACAAAATTTCCTACGGGGAGAATGTCTAATATTAAGGATTTATAAAATTCTGTATGCCAGATATCCCCATTCTAAACTGTAACGCTCTGCTGAATATGTTGGTGCTATATAAACGCTAATAATAACCAACAGAGAGTGAATGCAAGTATAGAACACATTATGATTATAATCCAAACACAGCTTAGCACGATAATTCCTGGAATAATGGACCTTACCAGGCACCGTACTGTTTAATCCAATGTTGGAAAACGGAGGCCTCGTTTCAGCTTTGTTTATCCTTCCATCCACAGCAGACCAAGCAGCTGAAAATGCATAAACAAACAAGATGAGCAATGATAAACCTGACCAAATGTACATAAAAGGTGGTTGGCCATCAATTACAACTTATATTTCAGGCCAAATGACATACTCGAGCAGTCTCAAATCTCCTGTAAATCTTGCACTCACCGAAAAAAAAAAAAAAAAAAAAGAATTACTTGCCATATTTTTCCATGTATAAGACTTTTTCTATTTTTTTTTTTTTTTTTTTAGTCTAAATTTGGGTGTCGTCTTATACGCGAAATAAGAGTGCAGTGGTTAATCCCCCCCAAAAAACACTTGTGCGTGGGGCTTAAGCCAAGATGGCGCCTGTCACGTTTCAGTGTGCCACAGCCCACACACATTCCTGCCCTCCCTCCCGCCTGCCGATCCACTTCTGAATGCTGTGGCAAGGAGAAGAGGTCCCTACATGCCACAACATGCAGCCATATTAAGGTTTGCTCCACCTCAGGTAGGTATTGCTTTCTGATTTATATTCATGGGGGAAGAAATAAGGATCAGCGAGCAGAGGAAATACTGTTGTGATATCCCAGCATGCCCTCTCACCACCTGCTGTATTGTGGGAGCTGTTGTCTCCCAGCATGCACTATAGAGCCATTAAACTTCACTGAGTCCCTTAGTACAGGGAAGCATGAGAATCAGAAGTGTGTTGTTCTCCTCAAAGTCACCTCTAAAAAAACAAAGTGATTCTATTTGATGTTTAAAATATGTATTTCTTAATTTTGGGCTCAAAAATAGGGGTAGTCTTACACATGGGGGCGTCTTATACGCGGAAAAATATGGGATATTTTTAAGTGGTTTACATCCTGCATTATCTTGGTTTTATAACTCTTGGCCACTTCACGGATGAGGAAAGAATGGAGTTATAGGAGTGGACAATCAGGCTAATTGCCTAATATTAAAGGCACTCTACCATTTACATTTGTGAATGAAACAATTAGCGCAATTATTTTATGCGTCTATAGGATTGCTGTAGTTTGTTTTTTTAAATAAATAGAACTAAGGAAAAGTCCTATGAAAAGCCATGTATCTTCCTATGTGAATATTTATTCTGATTATTTTGTTTGCACAGGGTGCGTGGGATATATCTTATTACATCTATGCATTTTTTGGAAGGGGTCTGTTTTTGGGTTTCTACTAAGACATTGCAAGCAGATATATATTTGAAGGAAAGGGCCTCACTTATTTAAACTTCCTTCATTTTTGCATTTTCTTAATTTAAGTGAGAGCATACACAACCTATAGCAGCCCTTAAATACAAAAGCCGTACTTAAACTCGGGAAAATTGACCGCTCACTCCATGGTGCACTCCAATCCTTTCCATTGGCATCCCCAGCTTCTTGATTCCAGTTGCAAGGCTCAGCTTTCTTTTTCCCAGATGAAGACACCCATTTTTCTTGAGGGGTAATCAATTTAGCAGGCTTCTCACTCCAAGTACTGCCGTTCACAGCAGACACTTCAGCTGAACCTTTCAGGAGTAAAAAAGTACAGAAATAACATTAAAATAAAATGAATAGACCATTGCAGAGGATACAAGAACAAAAAAAAAAAAAAAAGTATTTTTCAATGTGTTTTAATATTACATTCATCTTTTATCTTATACACACACACACACTTCTGTAAAATGTCACTTTCAAAAATAAAATATAAAGACAAAACGCAACTCAATAGAACATGATTTAATCATTAAAACCTAATTTACAACATATGCCTCAACTTAAGATTTAATAAGGAGTCAATATCGTTCGAAAACACTTTCCAAATCCTATATCTGCAAAAATCCCCATGGACTTTAACTTCAGTAGATGAATAATTTAGAAAGTTTTCTAGTGGCATTGAATAATTTGGAAAGCTTATTACATTGAGGTCATAATATGTTTCATGCAGGCATGCAAAAAGAGGTCCTTGAAATATTTTGTGAGCATATGCCATATCCTACATTAATGCCTTTTTCTTTAGGGTGGATGGTGGGGAGATTAAGTCTAACTCTTCAACAAATTTCTGTTTTAGTTGCCAATTACATCCACAATGATTAAAATGAACCTTTCAGTATGACAAATAGCAGATAATATAAGCCGAGGAGACAGATATGAAGGTATAAGGAAGAAAAGGTAGGGTGAGAATAATCATTAAGATACAGGTGGCATAAAGAACAGAGAAAACATAACAAAAAGTCACAAAACATGCCTACTTTTAAACATAGTTACATAGGGCTTTGGTGTAGCTCCATATGCATAGACCAGTGGGTGTTCCCAACATCCACCTTTAGCCACTCCAGTGTCCCGTTCATGGTCTGATTTGCTTTACCCTACTTGGAGACAGTTCTCCATGACCCAACATGTTAACTTGATTGCACACGTCAGCACGGAGTGACATCAATCACTCGGTTCCTATATTTTTCTACTCTGCACTAAAAGCACTGGCTAGAAAGAAAACATGGCAACCACGCCAAATATGCTCTATAGTAGGAGAACTGTCTGTATGATGGCTCTCTGTCTATAGGGAAGAACTGACTGACAGGTAGAAAGGGATTTAGCACATCTGGCTCTCCAAATGTTATAGACTACATCTCCCATAAAGCTCTTACATCCATAATGCTGGCAAAGCATCAAGGGAGATGTATTCCACATCTGCGGTGCCAAAGACTGCCTATCCCTGGTTAGGCCAAGTTGCCCTCAATGCCGCTATATCCCTCTCAAACACCTGACAAATTAAGCTATCAGTAGACATGTTTGGCACTTTTGGTCATATTCACTTTCAGGACTAAGATCTCTGGATATCTTCCACAAAACATGTACAATGCTAGAAGCACCTACAGTGCATGGCAGAAGGGGGTTCCTTTTCTTCAAGAGAGGCAATTATTAAATCTATGCTTTTTGCCATTAACAAAAAGTACACAAATGGGTAACACTGAAATTCCAACACAATCCTGCCAGTATAAGGATAGCCATAGAACAAAGAGGGTGGATAATAAACATTATCATAAACTTTATACGTTTCATTATATCAAGGTCAATGGTACCTTTTGTTTTACGAACTCCTGTAGCAGGAGCAGACACAGATATAAAAGATTCAGCAATAATCAGCGGTGTAGTTTCAATTACGTCAGACTCTGTTCCTTTTTCACGTTTACGTTGCTGACGCTTTTCCCGGTTACTGATTTTTGTTTCCCAGTTTCCTTTCAGGGAACAAAAATATTAGTATTGCTTACATCTGCTCAATTTACTTCTACACTGTTAAAACAGAAAACTATTTTGGAAGATATACAGAACAACCCCCTCCCACCGCCCCTTGTGTTAACCTTTGGAGGCCCTCAGAGTAGCTCAGCCAATGAGAGACCAGACTGTGAAAAGATATTGTTTTAACACAAAACTAAATATTTGAGTTCAAAAGAAATCCATGTAAATATCTAGCAACATGCCAAAGTTTATTCTAAAGAAGAAATATTACACTAGTACCACGTGTCTCGTATAATGTGGCTCTGTTAAAATATATTGATTATTAAATATAGGCAATTACACAGATTATTAAAAAAGGATGCATTTTAATTGAACAGAAAAAGGTTTAAACTGCTTGTTATTGAAACAAAATGCACTTAAATTACAACTTTAATAAAATGGACATCAATGTTGCTAGATATAACCCTACGGTAACTGTTTCATAAAAATGAAGTCTATACTAGTTTATTCATAACATTGCACAATGGACACCCACAGCAACTAAGTAGCCAATCCGTCTCTAGTTTACAAACCATCATTCCAATTCATAACTGAAAACAGGTATCATTTCAATAAGGATTTAAGCAAATTTTTAATTTACCTTCCTCCGCTTCTTTTTTATCTACATTTGCAGATGGTTGTGATTGCTTTGAGTCCAGTTTCAGTTTCTTTTTATTCTTCTTCATCTACAAATAAATAAAATAAATAATTTGCAGTGCTTACAATTCTTGCAGCTTGCATATTAACCCAAAACGGTGGATTAGAATTTAAACTTAATGTAGGTATACTCCATACATTGTTATAGCTACATTACCAGCAAATATACATGTTGAAAAATTATACCTTCAACTCTGTGATAAGTATTTTGATCATCCCAGCAAATGAAATTGAACAATTTATAAAATTAATTAGTACATGCACATAAAACATTCTAGTGATACACATTCATCCAAAAATGGATGGTTACCTTCTCATTCTTCTTGTCTGCCTCCACTGACTGCTTTACATTGTCTCTTTTCACTGTGGTTATTACTTCTTCTTGAACTAACTCCACAGGTCTGCCATTGGGCTGGATGGGCAAAAATGAAATGACAAGAGTTTTAAGAAGACAAAAAAAACCAAACAAAAACACTTTACCAAATCCTGCAATTTCACAAAATGTTATCTGACCAACAAGAAGTATGTGGATGCTTAGAGACCGAGCGTCCAAGAGAGATGGGGTTCTGACTGACCTTTGACTTTACTACTTTTGTGAACCATCATTGCACTAAATTGAGTTTTACCATTCAAGGTCTCACATGTTGTACATTAGCCACATAAAGGCAAATTTTAAACTCTTTACAAAATTTTGTTTAATATCAATTGTGTATTCAAGGTTGTGGGCTTAGGAGTTAGAATTGGACAAGTCACAGTTTATAGGAAACTCAAGAAGGGCAAACAATTTAAAGGACACAATCAGTACTAAACGTTTTTTCTAGTAGCTGCAGTAATCAAAATATTAATGGATTTCTCATTATCTAATGTAGTACCAGTTGTGTGTGAGAACTCCATGCAGTCATTTGCCAGACCAGAAGCAAAAGTGCCAGGTGAACATAAAAAAAAAAAAAAAATAATATCAAAAACCTATACAGGTGTGCTGTGTCTTTAAGACCAATATATTATAAAGTATGAAAAAGTCTTAAAGACAACACCTGTATAGGTTTTTTTGTTTTAATGTTCTGAGTGTTTGAGCTATTACACTGGTTACGGTGCTGCTCTTTGAATATATATTTTTAATTGCTTTTGTGAGAAAAATTGATAGAAGACTTGTTATAAACACCTTCTTTCACTTGTTTTTAGTGGTTTTCAAGATATAGTGCCAGGCTGGCCAATATAAATTATGTGCGTATTTCAATGCACAGATCATTCATTGGCTTACATCAGTTAGCTGAAGCTCAAAGCCAATGAACATCAGTATCAGCATCCAGCTTATGCAGCTCTGTAGAAGCCTGAATGTTGTAAACCTGCCTACAAAAAGGAGCCCAGGAGTCTGGTGGGACCCATAATAATAAAGCAAAGCTTGTGACTCTGCCCAAAAGACCTGCTAGTTTGCCTCTTCCTGGCTCTCAGCACAGGAAGCATGGCCCAAGCTTTTTGCAACAAGACATGTCATCCTATTGACTTGCAAGTTCCTTTCACATTACGATAAAACTTAATGGCATTTGAAATTAAATGTGAATCTGCAAGTGCTCTAATTGACAGGATTCTACACAGAGCTACAAACTCTGCCTTAGAGCACTGTTCGGAAAGCAGGGATTGTATCCTGGCACCATGATCCCTCCAATAATGGCTGCAATGCCTCTTCACAGTTATATATTGCACTGGCTCCTTTTCCCTGGCAAACAGTGTATACATCACTCCCCTTTTCTACGATGTGGCACACTAAGCTAACAAAATTCAATACATTTAAGCATGAACGGACTTAAAGTTGGTTTACTGCTAACAAAAGTCATCAGAGAGTATTTGCAGTAAATTCAAGTGTCCTTCCCCATGCATGTACATATACAGGTGAATGACCTGTCCATCTACATATGCAGCGTAACAGCAAGCAGTATTTGAATGAACTACCAGTCAGAACTCAACATGTATTAACTAAAGTGAGGTTATAGAAAATCCCTATTCACTATACATCTGCAGATAATCCCCTGCTTTAACACACAGTTGCTTGCTTTTCAATTTAGGATAAGAACCCAAAAGTCATTTTGTTCTTATTTTAGTGTCCATAAACCTCAATTTGATGTGCATTTATCTGTCAAGATTTTGTGCTAAAACTGCATAATCATTGAAGTGGTCTGGATGCACTGTCCCAGTCCCCTTAATCCTGAAACTGTAATTATTGCAGTTATTGATAAACTGCAAGCAGAGAGAGGTAAGACTGCGTCTAGTGGCAGTCAGACAGCCACTAGAGGCACCTAAGGTGGTTAGTCAACTTTTGGTCGCTGGATGCCCTCGGTCAATCATCCATAGAAAAGCACTGTAGCAATGCTTTCCAATGGAGAGGGCCTAATGCCCTTGCGCATTAGCACCCCGCCCTCCACCTGGCGACATGAGAGCTGGGGTGCCGAGGGACATCAGCGTTGGAATCAAGCAAGTACAGCAAGTTTATTCAATCCTTAATATACTGTAGTGTGGCGCAAGGGTGCTTTTTATTCGAAGGACTATAGTCTCCATTTAAGTTCTTGATATGACATTTTAGATCCAATAAACCATAACCCAAGCTCCCACAAATCAAATTAACATCTACCATGCTGCAAAATTTGGCATCCTCTGCAAAGGCGTTTTAACTCAAGTGCGTACACGGTTACTAATGAATATATTTATTGGGACACTCCAGTGTCTAAATGCACAAAATCACTGTTTAGTAGACATACCCAAAATGAAACCGTGATTGTATTTGCCTATACATTTTTTTACTGGGTGTCTACATAAAAACAGCTTACAAAACCTGCCGATCTTTTGTCTGCTATCTTTGCAAAATCTCCCCTTCTAACTCCGCTCAGATGTTCTGTGGCTGTCCAATCACAAACTTCCCAATGCAGCTCAATGAGAATGCAAGGCAGGTGCTCCTGAGTCTACCTCCACTGAGACAACCAAACTAGGAAGTAACAGGACTTGTCTGCTTGAAAAGCCAGGGGAGTGTAACCAGGCAACTCTTCCCACAAAGCTTTTCAGCAAGCAAGCATTAGGAATCTGGACACCCATTACTTAAAGGAACACTATAGCGTTAGGAATACAAAAATGTAATCCTAACGCTATAGAGCCCTAGTCACCATTTAGGTGACTTAGGTCCCGTTCCGCGGTGAATAAATGGTTAATTAACCATTTATTTGCTTGCCTTAATCCACCACCGGGCTCCCTCGGCACTGGTGACCTCTCCATCGATGTCAGCTTCCGAGTGGAGCCCCATGCGCATGCGCGGCCAGAGGCGCGCATTCAAACCCGCCCATAGGGAAAGCATTACTCAGTGCTTTCCTATGGGGATCTATTTTGACACTGGACTCCATGAGGACATCCAGCAACAAATAAGTGATTTACACAGTGTAAATTGCGCAAGCGGCCTCTAGTGGCCGTCAGGGAGACAGCCACTAGAGAGGCTGGATTAACCCTGCATTGTAAACATAGTCGTTTCTCTGAAACGGCTATGTTTTCAGCTGCAGGGTTAAAACTAGGGAGGCCTGGCACCAAGACCACTTCATTGAGCTTAAGTGGTCTGGGTGCCTATAGTTGTCCTTTAAAAAAAAAAAAAAAAATACAATACGGATATTGAATATTTCTTCTGAAAGCTTAAACTTACTGTTACCATGACGGAATGTAATCTGCAGTTAAGTCACTAACCCAAGAATTGAGGAGATTTAACAAGGTAATAACAAAATTGCTTGATTGTTAATATTTTCCAAATAATTCATTCCATTGCAGTTATTCTAGCCTAAATATTAACTTTATTTAAAATAGTACTTTCACATTAAGGCCAAACACAACCATGTGCTCATATGTCAATTCTAAGGCAAGAGGTATTATGGCATCACAGAAGTGACAGTTCCGATGTAATAAATGGGAACAAAAAGAGAAATAAAATGTAGGTTGGAGGTCAAAATGATTATTTCACGATCAGATTGTGTTGTATGTGATGGAAAATGTAATTAAACTTGATAAAGGTAACAATTACAGAGAGCTTGAAGTATATTCCATAAGTAAAATAACAGGCTACAATATCCATAATGTTACATCTGGATCAGTTGGCTAATTCTCACAAAATATGCCCTTATAATGTAATGGCTGAATTACTTGAAGACAATAAACCATTCTTTTGTAAAATGAAACTATCAGAACACAGTATCGGTTTGCTTTAACAAGATTTACAGTTTTGCTCCCTACTGAAATGCAGAGGGGAATCCATGAGCCTTAAGAGCCCAATGTGGTAAAATGATCACACAAAATGTAATTGTTCATGATGTTCACAGGGATAATCAGTACAAATATTCAGAGTTTGTGCCTTGTTAATAGGCTGTTGTGATGCCAGAGAGTATCTTTATTAAACATTTAGTATATATATAAGGAAACAGAGTTTGGATGCTGGAACCTAATGTTTAACTAGTCCTATATGGATGATAAAACCCTAAAGTCTTTTGCGGTCACCATCCCCCATAGGACAGTAATGAAAAATTAACTCATAAGCTGTGAACCTCAGTCCAACTGGCCCTCGTTCATCAACATTGCTGGCTGAGCATTGTGGGATAGTGGTCTGCATAATGCACATAGATGAAAAGGAAAGCCAACCCACTGCTCTAGGAAAATGCTTCTTCATCTCAGTACTAATTACACATATTTCCAGCAAAGTATCAGCCAGATTTAAACCCCAAAATGAAACCTATAAAAACCATGGTTAACAGATATTTTGGAGTATAATTTTTAAAATTATCTTGCCACGAGTATAGGTGATCCAAGGACTCGAAGGCAAAACCAAGTTAAAATCTGGGACAAAGTGCTAAATGTTCATTGACATTCCACTGGTTTCTATGGTGATTTCTCCTAATTTAGTTCTTTCTCCCAGATTAGCACTCAGTTTTGCCTTGATAAATATGGCCCAAGTATTCACATTCCTGTACTAAAAATACTGCCCTGTAATCGACCTTTTCCCTCTGACCATATGTGATGTCTAATACCAGGCTGAGCTGGTAGCAATGGAGACCCCCACCCCAGGCTTGCCACGGCAGGACTACCTCCCCCCCTTAACTGCTCCAGCTGGCAGTAATGGAGACTCCCAGGCTTGCCATGCAGGAGTATCCCACTAAGCTGCTTCAGTTGGCAGTAATGGAGACCCCCCTTAGCTGCTCCAGCTGGCACTAATGGAGACACTCTGGCTTGTCATGGCAGGCGTAGCCCCCCTTAGCTGCTCCAGCTGGTAGTAATGGAGACCTTCTGGCTTGCCATGACAGGAGTAGCCCCCCCCTTAGCTAACCCCAGCTGGCAGTAATGGAGACTCCCAGGCTTGTCATGGCAGGAATACCCCACTAAGCTGCTCCAGCTGGCAGTAATTGAGACTCCCAGGCTTGCCATGGCAGGAGTACCCCACTAAGCTGCTGCAGGTGGCAGGAATGGAGATTCCCCTTGGCTTGCCATGGCAGGACTACCCCCCCCTTAGCTGCCCCAACTGGTATGAATGGAGGTCCCCTTGGCTTGCCATGGCAGGAGTAGCCCCCCTTAGCTGATCCAGCTGGCAGTAATGGAGGTCCCCTTGGCTTGCCATGGCAGGAGTAGCCACCCTTAGCTGATCCAGCTGGCAGTAATGGAGGTCCCCTTGGCTTGCCATGGCAGCAGTAGCCCCCCCTTAGCTGATCCAGCTGGCAGTAATGGAGGTCCCCATGGCTTGCCATGGCAGGAGTAGCCCCCCTTAGCTGATCCAGCTGGCAGTAATGGAGGTCCCCTTGGCTTGCCATAGCAGCAGTAGCCCCCCCTTAGCTGATCCAGCTGGCAGTAATGGAGGTCCCCCAGGCTTGCCATGGCAGGAGTAACCCCCCTTAGCTGATCCAGTTGGCAGTAATGGAAGTCCCCTTGGCTTGCCATGGCAGGAGTAGCCCCCCCCCCTTAGCTGCTCCAGCTGGCAGTAATTGAGACTCCCAGGCTTGCCATGGCAGGAGTACCCCACTAAGCTGCTGCAGGTGGCAGGAATGGAGATTCCCCATGGCTTGCCATGGCAGGACTACATCCCCCCCTTAGCTACTCCAACTGGCAGTAAAGGAGATCCCCTTGGCTTGCCATGGCAGGAGTACCCCCCCTTAGCTGCCCCAACTGGTATGAATGGAGGTCCCCTTGGCTTGCCATGGCAGGAGTAGCCACTCTTAGCTGATCCAGCTGGCAGTAATGGAGGTCCCCTTGGCTTGCCATGGCAGGAGTAGCCCCCCTTAGCTGATCCAGCTGGCAGTAATGGAGGGCCCCTTGGCTTGCCATAGCAGCAGTAGCCCCCCCCTTAGCTGATTCAGCTGGCAGTAATGGAGGTCCCCCAGGCTTGCCATGGCAGGAGTAGCCCCCCTTAGCTGATCCAGTTGGCAGTAATGGAAGTCCCCTTGGCTTGCCATGGCAGGAGTAGCCCCCCCCCCCTTAGCTGCTCCAGCTGGCAGTAATTGAGACTCCCAGGCTTGCCATGGCAGGAGTAGCCCCCCTTAGCTGATCCAGCTGGCAGTAATGGAGACTCCCAGGCTTACCATGGCAGCAGTAGCCCCCCTTAGCTGATCCAGCTGGCAGTAATTGAGACTCCCAGGCTTGCCATGGCAGGAGTAGCCCCCCTTAGCTGATCCAGCTGGCAGTAATTGAGACTCCCAGGCTTGCCATGGCAGGAGTAGCCCCCCTTAGCTGATCCAGCTGGCAGTAATTGAGACTCCCAGGCTTGCCATGGCAGGAGTAGCCCCCCTAGCTGCCTCCTCACCTTGGCCTTTTCTGGCAGCTTCTTCTTGCTCTTTTTCTTGGGGTCCTCGCCCTTGGCATTCTTGGCAGGCGGTGCTGGGGGTGCAGCCTGGGTGAAGGCGGGTCCCCTCTCATCCCTCACTCGGTCCCTGGCCGAGGAGCCCCGTAAGACAGCCCTGAGCAGCAGCAGTAAGACGAGCAGGCCCAGCCCGGCTGGCACGGCCAGGAACACCCAGGAGGGGTACTGGTGCGGCTGCAGGCCCAGGTCGAGGCCTAGCTCGGTTCGCAGAAGGCCCAGGCCCGCGGCCAGCAGCTCCCTGAGGCGGGCAGAGATCACCTCGGCCTGCTGCGAGGCTGCCTGCTGCCAGGCGGACGCCATGACTGATGTGGGACAGAGAGAGAGGAGGGGCCGCCGCTGGACCCCCTGCTCGCTGCCCCGGTGGAAACCTGTAGAAAGACTGAGGCTTTGGGGGAGCACTTGGCTTCGTGTCGGCTCCGCCCAGCTCTCAGCGCAGCAACGTCATCACTCCGGCCAAGGCGCCGCCATCTTGCGGTGGGGTGAGGGGAGGGTCACGTGAGCGCCGGATGGACCGAACTGCTGACGTGGAGGTCGTCACTTAGCTGCCTCTCCTCGGTGCCTGTGCACTGGGTGGGGCATGGACTGTCTCACAATGAGCACCAAAGCATCACGGGACTTGTAGTCCTACAGCGCTGTGAGGCTGCCATCAGGTGAAAATACACCTACAGGCCTGAGCTTCGGTTATGTGAGCACGTAAGGAAACGCAGTCCACAGCAGTACCATCTCCTTACAAAAAAAGTAAATTCAAGTTTTTTTTTATTTTATTCGCCTCGTGAAAGGCATTTTGCCCGTTTCCAAAATGGCGTATGACACGCCCCATGGTATTGTCTGCGCATGCGCCCTGGTTTCCGAACGCTTATGCCTACGTGTGGAACTGACGTGGCGTGTTTGAATGGAGACTCGCTTCTCCGTAAAATGGTGCTTACCACCGTCGCGTTGTTTTTACTTTAGAGTTTAGAACTCGAGGGAGTCGGCAAGGACTGGGAGATATGCCAGTCATAGGGAGGATTGTGTGTTTGTTTGTTTTAAACAAACTTTATTGACAGTAGCTATTGGTGAAATAACAAAAGGCAATTCAACAGCAAAGACTGGGCATGTAGGTGTGATTGAAAGAAAGCATTAGAGCAGGCTTCCCTAAACTCCGGCCCTCCAGATGTTGCTGAACTACAACTCCCATGATTCTATGAATGCAATAGCAAGGCTGAGAATCATGGGAGTTGTAGTTCAGCAACATCTGGAGGGCCGGAGTTTGGGGAAGCCTGCATTAGAGTCAAAAGCTTTCTGTGCAGATTAGAATTGTATTGTGTGTGCACTGGGGAAAGTAAAGGGACACTATAGTCACCATAAACACTACAGCTTAATGTAGTTGTTCTGATGTCTGTAGTCAGTCCCTGCAGGCTTTTTAATGTGAATGCTGCTTTTTCTTTACATTGCTGTCTAGTAACACCTCTAGTGGCAGTCACCCGGACAGCCACAAGATGTGCTTTCTATTTCACCTGTTTTTAGTGTGTCTCCACTCCCCGCGTGGCGGTGCCGAACGGTCATCAGAGAGATGCACTGATTCAACTCAAGTCTATTAGGAGATGCTTGAGTGGCGCAGTGAGGCATTTTGCTGTGCGTGCGCAATCGTCTCCAAATGTTTTCCTATAGGAAAGCATTGGATTGGCTGAGATCATGAAGATTGATGATCTCAGTCATGGAGACAGGGCCAGCCAAAGCTGTTTGAGTAAAAACACCTTTCCCATGCATTGGAAGTGGGCCAGGTACCCTAAATAGTTCAACACTAAAGTGTCAGGAATACATGCTGCTATGAAATTAGGCCTTGATTTAATATTGTCGGGTAAGCTTTCCAACTTTATCAACTTTCCAATTCTATCCAATTTTATAGAGCTGCAGATTTTGCTCAAGCTTTAAAATTCAACTCCCCACCTGGCACACACTGTTGGGTTGATATTAAAGGAGAACTCGGCACCTCAAGATTTTAACTTATTCTGGACTACCCTCAAGAGAAAAAGCACAACATTCCCTTCTTCCCTCCATCGCACAAACCTATTCTGTCTTGAAGAAACGTGCATATAGAGATAACTTGTCCACCTGTGAATCAGCAATGATCCCTATAATCGGTAACCCAAAATTACCGGGACAGGTGACAGTTTCTCTTGGTGATTGAGATATAACTTGGTTATGATAAGTGATTTTCCTTGTCTAGGTCAATCATTTACTGCTGAGACCCTGACTGTAAATAAACACATGCCTCAAACAGAGTTAACAAATTTCAGATATATTTTTTCTTTTCTGGAATCCTTACCACACTGGATAGAATAGATCCATATGACATCTTTTGAACATCTATAAAATATTTACTTTTCTGATAGTGAATCAATTTCAGTAATTCATTGTCTCTTATCAAACAAGCTATGTTCTGCCGGGAAACCTTGGGATGCATGTGGATGTTACTTTGAAATATGCCACCTACCTAGAGATTGTTGCAGATGATGTGCACCCTTTTATGGCAATGGTGTTCCCTGCTGGCATTGGCCTCTTTCAGCAGGATACTGTAACATGCCACACTGTAAAAAATGTTCAATAATGGTTTGAGCAACATGGCAAAGATTTCAAGGCCTTGGCCTCCAAATTCACCAGCTCTCAATGTGATTGAGCATTTATGGGATGCGCTGGAACAACAAATTTGATCCATGGATGCCCCACCTCGCAACTTGCAGGACTTAAAGGATCTGCTACTAATGTCTTGGTGCCAAATACCAAAAGGACATGTTCAGAGGTCTAGTGGAGTCCATGCCTAGATGCACCAGATCTGTTTTTGCTGTCACGATTGGCATCGTGTCATTCAGACAGCCAGGCATGGCCGTTCCACAGGTGCCAAAAAGGGGATTTGAACTCTGGACTCTTGCTGCCATAGTCCTACTGTCTTGTCTCTGAGCCAACAATTCAGTTCATGTTTCAATGTGATGTCCTATCCTGCCTTGTGTGCAGCACTAGGGGGCTGGATTTTACCTGCCGCTGCTCCTATCAATCTCAGCCCATCTGAAGCTGATGCCCAATTAGCCAGGTATAAGACACTGTCTTTCCTTGAGGGCAGTGCCAGTTCATTGACTCTGGTTCCTGTGTTCATGTTCGTGATCCAGTGTTCTCCAGTCGGTTCCTGTCCTTGGCTTATTCTTATCGTGTGTCCTGACTTCTGGCATCCTCTGACATTGGCTTACCCTCATTTATCCTGAATTCTGGCACCCTCTGACTTTTGACTTATCCTCTACAATGCTCTTGTTTGTGTCTTTGTCTGTACTGTGACTTGGAGCAATATCCTGCACAGCCCCCGTGCACAGACTCACAGGCCAGGTGGTTCCTTATCTGGTCACCTTGGTCTGTGTTTATTTGCAAGGTTGAGCGTATATCTCTGCATAGCGGACTCCCAACTAAGATAAGCCCTGACATTTGCAACATGAGGTTGACCTACACAAAATTTGGCAGGTGATTTCAATGTTGTGACTGATCAATGAATATCACTTACGGTGAATAATTACATAGATGGTGTAACGGACCGTTTTGCACACAAGGGGTAAAAACCGTTTAGGCGATCGTCCCCTTCTCAGAGACGCAGGCACAGCTATTGTAAAACACCAAACTCACGAACCACCAATAAGGGAATGCTCCAAACTCCTGAACGGCATCCAATATAGCACTCCAAACACACAAACTGGAACCATACGAATCACTGCTAGCAGACGAATAGGAAAAGCATCCAAGCTTACACTCCTAGCAATCAGTCTCTATCAGCAGTCAGTAAATCCCCCCCAAAGACGAGACAAGACTCCGTGTTGAGGGTCAAGCAGTGGTCTGGTTTAATGAGGGCTACCTGCCCAGTATTTATGCAGGTCTCCCACCTGGTGGACACTCCCCTAGGGGACCAAATGGGAGACTGTGACAAAAGACAGACAAGTAGAGAAATAGGACTCACAGTCACATTATATTCCCACAATGCATCCTGGCTTCCTCCCCTCTGCCTTGGAGATAATTGAGAAGTAATTCAATTATCTCCCAAGACAAAGGCAAATCGCCATTATGCACGTGGGGATACTACAACACGAATTACTATTAAAATACACTATGTGAGACACATTACAATAAAACTATACATTTAACATATCCCCAGATAGCTCAGGTCTGAGCGCACATTATTAAGCGAATGGCGCTCAGACCACACGAATACAGTGTAATCGCCATGGAGCCAAAGTCTCTACACAGTCAGTTTCTCATGCGAAATGGCTCCATGGGATTCCTATCTGGGGTATAACACATTCAAGCAAAACTACTGAACACCGGGCCGTTCGTGCACATTCACCGAACAAGAAGGGAGGTCGGCGGCTTCAACGGTGTTCGCGCAAAACTGTGTCCGATTTCAGTTCCATGAATTAAGCATCGAACACCGCTGTGCGTTCGCATGTTTAAAATGGCCGCGACCTCGTGTTCGTGATACGAATAACGGCCACCCAGCATTCGTCAATTAAGCTGCAGTTAACTCCAGCTTCAGGGAGGCTAATTGCCGGCACACTCCAGCTCCCAGGTGGTCCAGTCATTCGTGCGGTTGTTCGGTAGATTGAATCTACCGAACACCAGGCAGAAAAGAACGAATAAATCTTTTCTGCAGGTAAAAAAGATGTCTTTTAGCATGGGGCCATAGTCTAAAGGCAACAGGCGAGCAACCAGGCTTCTCCAATGCAATGTGGCGAGATTGCTCTCGTCACAGATGGCGTCACTATCAGTGCAGTATCCTGCATTTAAAAGTAAGATCTGCCCACTGAAAAAAACAGACAGATGTACCAGCATATACACATGAGAACTTATCTTAATACAATAAACAAGCATACATGGAAAATTATTTTGACTCCAACTATATTTTCTGCGGTTTATCCCCTTTTGAATTGAGTGGAATTGCTGGGACTGATTGGAATTACTGACTATATGAGCATCAATAAACCATTATAGATTATTGAATATCTTGTAAAAAATAGATAAAATGTCAAGGCTGGAACACATCTGTCATGCAAACCAAGAGCTAAGAGTACCTTTATTAAAAAGGAAGACGTATTGCCGGTCCCTGAGGTGGCTTGACAGAGAGTAAACACGTACAACCTGAGGTCAAGGGATACAAAATAATCAGAAAATGATTAAACAAAGCCAAAGTAAAGTCAGAGTAGCCAAAAGCAAAGTTAAAAACAGAATACAGACATCACAATTAAGAACATATTCTTGAGTAACAAAGACTACAACAGGGTAAAGAGGACTGGTCAGAGTGACCTTAAATAAATCCAGATCTGTTTCTATAACCCAGATCTGTTTCAATTCTGATGCCAAAAGGTCATGACCAGTGTCATTTAACTGTTGCGGACTGTTGTGGTGTGGAAAGATGACATGAGCATCAGGGCGTATATAATGTGTGCAGAATGGAGCAGTCTGTGTCTAAAGAGATACCAGTATAATGCATAGCATCAATATGGGCATGGTGGTGTTTAGAGAGTGCAAGAGCCAAGACACAAAGTGACTGTTCACTTTATCACTTTCTTTAAATGGTTGCTATGGATCTGCATACCAGAGCTAGTGCCCTTCTTCTACACAAGTCACTAGCATGAGATGAAAAGTGATAATGGAGTCAGCATTTTAAAGCTCACATAACTGGGTGAGTCAACAGAGAATAACCAGGTAAGAAGTGGACCTGTAAGAGACCCATCTGATCTGCCACACCAGAGAAATAGCAAATGCAGAAGTTTAGGAACCATATAATTTTTTTCACTGGATCTCGAGACGGCCAGTTTTCCATATTATGTGGATTGAGAGGAAATAGCATATACATCTTCCAACCATTATTAGATTTATTCCAAAGACCTTTTTAAAGAAATGTTTTATTTAGCAAATATTATTTTTTATTGTTTCCTTTTCACAAATAACATATGGCATCTGTAATGTCAAACAAATGCCCATTATATGAATTTTATGGCAAGACTAGAGACTTCATATTTGCTAATCTTTCTTTACTGAAACCTCGAGCAGCAAAGAAACAGTTAACAATAGATAAATAAAAATCAACCAATCAGAGAGCATGACAATAATATATGTATTGCAATCAGGCTCCTCCCAACTCCTCTTTCTTTGCTGCTCACTTCCCAGGTGAGTCTATTCCAATTACAGTCTCCTACATTTTGACTTTCATTCATATATGATATATTTGTGATCTTATATATTATAACATTATATTTGTTTTTCCTTGTACACCTTTTCAACTAACTACCTACGTGTCTTATTGTCCATCCACTTTTACTGTTGGGCAGTTTTATACTGCTCCCTTATCCTTTGCTGTGCTATGGCATGCTGCATATTGTGCCTGCTCCCCCTCTGGAGCTCTGCCATCACATTAGGCCATCAAAGGTCCAACTGGCCCATTCGTTCTCGTCATTTTGAGATGCAAGGTTTTTTTCTAGCCCTTCACGATCGTGGTGGCAATCGTATGCTCGCGCGGCACTTTCATGCCTTCTTGCCTTTCGGAAAGTGCAGAACACTACGGGACGATTGCGTGCTCTTCCTGCTCCTTGTCAAAGCGATCAGGTAAGTTTTTTTTTTTTTTTTTTCAGATTAAAAAGTGTATTTTCTCTTCAATTCATTACCATGTATTCGTAGTGCTATATTTTTTCTTTTATTGCAGATTTCTGTGGCTGACCACCACATATTACAGTGATTAATTATTCAATTTACACAGGTGACCCCTGTATTTTCATTATTGTTTCCTTACAATTGGATGACTCCCTGTTTATGTATATTCTAAACTCCCTAACCAGGGATACATATTCTGGCTCCGAAAGCAAGGAGTTCGGTCCCTCGTTTACTTGAACGACATTCTAATCATGGCTCAAGATCCGCAGACTCTTCTTCACTAAGCGGATATGACCTCTGCACTACTCCAAAATCTAGGATTTATCATAAATGATCAAAAATCCGTTCTGGAACCCGCACAAACAATGCAATTTCTTGGATTTAAGATAGACGGCAAACAAGCTATCCTTCAACTACCTTCATCCAAGATCAGAGCCATAAAATAGGACATTCAGAAACTATTGTCCTCACAACAAATCTTCCTATGAGATCTCGCACACATGACTGGTCTCCTTTCGGCTTTCATACAAGCCATCTTTCTAGGACCACTACATTGTCAAGCAATCTAACACTTAAAGACTTTTTACCTCATACAACCAACTAATTTAATTGACAAACAAATTACAGCTGTAACTTCGTTGGTGACTCCACAACATGTACGCCTGGAACGGGAAGGCCATATTTGGCTCCCAACCAGATTTTATTCTGGAGTCAGATACCAGTCTTCTGGGATGGGGAGCAACCTGCTCTGATATGTCATCTGGAGGACTTTGGTCCCCTGCGGAACAAGCACTCCATATCAACTGTTTGGAACTTATCACAGGCTCCTTTGCCTATCGGGAAATTTGCCCATTCGTGCAGATCATCTTCCAGATCCCGACAATCTAGTCGCGGACAGGCTCTCCCGACATTGCAGGAATGCCAGCGATTGGCAACTGAATCCACAGATCTTCCACAGCATTCATCTATTACTCAGCCTGGATCTCTTCACGTTTCATCTGAATCGTCAGACGGATGCCTACTTCAGTTGGCTACCAGATCCACTCTTCCTGGCGGTAGATGCATTTCTCCAAATCTGGCTGATAATGGTGGCATATGCCTTTCTCCCCTTCTCCATAATCTCACATACTCTCCACCTCCTAAGAGTTCAAGGTGTTCAGATAGTTCTAGTAACTCCATTATGGCAAGCACAGTTGGGTTCCCAACCCTCCTGGAGATGTCAGTGGACCTCCCTCTGCTGTTACCTCGTCATCAGGATCTACTCCGGAATCCAGCAGGTGAATTTAATCCACTCGCCCTTTAGGGTTATATCTACGGCTCATAGACTGGACCGTTTCAGTGGATTCTGGCATGTTGCAGGACTTACGAACACGGCTCAATCACTCTTATGGGACTCCTGGGCCCCCGGGACTCAACTAGCCTTCATCTCTGCTTAGCAGATTTGGGTTCGCTGGTGTGTGGGAAGGAACACTGATCCCGTTTCAGCATTTCTCACACACATTTAGAATTTCCTATCATCTCTATATGATCAAGGCAAAGCCTATTGCTCTATCAATGTCTTCAGATCCGTCATTTCTGCTGCTCATACCCCAATTGATAATTTACCTGTGGGCAAACACCAATCTATTTGCAGTCTTTCACAAGGCATTCGTCTTGCCAGATAGTTTTGGAAGCTTGACTCCCAAATAATGCGCTTTCCTTGCGCCAGATTTCCGCTGATTTCTCTGCTTAGTCCTTTCATCAAGTTTCAGACATTTGAGATTTCGATTTCAACGCAGTTATCTTTCCGGTTTGTCCTTTTGCATTATAAGCCATTTATGCCACGAGGCCTTATATTGTTACCTACTGCCAGCCTTGCCTGTTTAACTCAATTTGGTTTAATTAATGTATTAATACATTAGTCTTACCTATTTAAATCTTTTTGATTTCTTCGTATATTAGTACCAGTTATATTAACATCGGCGCTAGCTCTATCAGAATTTTATATCTAAGCTACGAACTAGGACATTGTATTGGTTTTTTTGAACCAATAAACCATACTTTCATGATATCTCTTTTTCTTTTCAGTGTGAAAATCACTTTACTACATGGATCCCTCTTCGGTTCATAGTTTACATAGTTGACTATTCGATTGCATTTGCCTGTTTCCCGTAATCGTTTACATGGTTGACTGTACTGCGATTCAGAAGCATCAGGAAAGAGGAGTTGGGAGGAGCCTGATTGCAATATATACTACTGTCATGCTTTATATTTGGCTGATTTTTATTCATATATTGTTAACTGTTTCTTTGCTGCTGGAGGTTTCAGTAGAGCAAGATTAGCAAATATTTGCCTTTAATACATTTTAGATTATTTGGTCACTAAACTAAAATAATCCTTAATTAAAGGGCTACTCCACCCCAATTAAAGGGCTAACATCATTCAGTGTATTTTGAAGTGGTGGTGGTGCAAGGACCCAGTATGTGCAGAGGTTCAGTGCGAATTACATTTTATGTTGCTGCTGGAAGTTTAAAGAGAATAGAAAAGTTTATGCAATTTTGCTTTCTCTCTGAACCCATACAACCATTCTAACCTTCATGTTATGGTAAAGAACACAAGTTTCTAGAAAATAAATAAATAAATAATATAAATCAAATAAAACACTTTTCTTGCAGCTTTTTCTGGGTAATGCATGCTAGTTCACATGCTACATGTAGCATATAATATTTTATTTGGTAATCATTTAGCTTGAAATGCTTTTACCAGTACAAAAGTAATGCACCATCAACTGTGCTTAACACAATAGTATATCAAATTTTTTTTTCAATTTGAAGTTTATTGACTTTTTCATGTATGCATAACTTGGGGTGGGTTAGGGTAAAGTTATACAGAAGCTTCTAGGTACAATTACGTTTTCCCAGCTATGGGGTTGACAAAGAATTTCCATACATAACTCCTTCTGTGCGCTGTTTGGTGTTAGCTGGGGTGTTTGCCATTGCATCTAGTGGGTGGTGTCGACTCCACCTGTTGTGGACCTTAGTGGGTGGTTTGCGTTCTACCCTCTATTGTGTCTATCTCTACTAGCTCTCGTGCCTCGGACTTTGTGCTATCCTTCCATGTCTTGTGTGCCTCGTATATATGTGTGCGTGCCCCAAATTGTGCCGCTGCCATGAGTTCGTACTCCCAGTTTTGATCTACCTGTTTCATTACGTCTTGAAGTGTGGGAGGTATCGTTTTTTTCCACAGTCTGGTTATCAGCAGGTTTGCTGATATGATGGTGTGGTAGAGTATTTTCCTGATGTGTTTCGGGATGCCCCAAGGCCACATAAACAAAATACATGTTTGTGGATTATCTAGCTTGGGTGTCGGTAGCAGTTTATGTAATAGTTGGGTAACCTCCTTCCAAAAAGAGCCAAGCTTGGCGCAGGACCACCAGATATGTAGCATGGTCCCCACCTCCCTCCCACATCTCCAGCATTTGTTGTTAGTGGTTGGCCACATCTTGTGGAGTTTGTCTGGTACTAGGTATCAGCGGTACATTATTTTGCGTTGTAACTCCAGGTGTGTGTTACATGCTGTGAGTCCCTGGTGTGCCAAGTATGCTCGGTCCCATGTGACGTCTGGAACGTCTGTCCCAGCTCTTGGTGTCACGCCTGTTTAATCTTATCTAATGTTTGTGTTTGTGTTGTGATCAGCTCCTGGTATCCCCAGGACAAGATTTTCCCTAGTTTCTGTATACCCACACAGTGTTTTTCAAACTTCTTCATATTTATTCAGTTTTCCGATTTGTCTTCAGCGCTTAGTTTGCTTGAGACGTATGATTTTAATTGCATGTACGAAAATATGACCCTAGTGGGCAATGTGTATTCCTCCTGGATGGCTGGTAGTGGTTTCAGGCGTCCCCTGTCTATCACCTGATATATGTGGTGTATCACCCCTTTCACCCATGTCTCCCACGGGAAATTGGGGATGTCCAGCCCTATTTTTTGTAGTGGTGTGGCCAGGGGAAGTGTTCGTTTTGCCACCAGTTTATCTCTTATTTTGTGCCATATTTGTAGTAGGGTCTGGGTGCTAGGCAAGAGTTTGTCCCGGGTGTGCCTGGGGCAGTTTTCCTGCCACATCAGTGCAGGTCCTGTCTGCGTGCCCAGTGCGATTCTATGGTTACCCATTGTGGTGCGTTGGTTGAGAGGTTTATTTGTGATATGTTATGGAGGTACGCCGCTCTGTAGTAGGCCGTCAAGTTCGGGAGGCCTAAACCTCCCCTGCGTACCGCCTGTTGTAGGGTCCCTGCTGCTCGCTTTTTTCCCCTCCCAGATGAAGGTGTTGATGGTGTGCTGCATGTTTTTGAGGTATTGCTTTGGTAGGGGTATCTGTAGCGTGCGAAAAAGGTATTGGATTTTTGGAATTAGCGACATTTTTACTGCTGCTATGTGGCCTGTCCACGACAGGTACTTCCCCTTCCATGCCTGCATGGAGTCTGTGAATTCTTTATGCATACGCACGTAGTTATGGTGGTATAGTTTAGCAGGGTTTTTTGTAAGTTTGAGGCCCAAGAAAGTCAGGTGGTCATGTTTCCAGTCCAGGGGGAATGCCCCGCTCAATCTGGACATGAGGTTTGTGTCTAGATGCATCCCCAATGCTTGTGTCTAGGTGACATTTAATTTGTAATATGAAACTGCGCCGTATGTTTCTATGTGTGATATCAGGTTTGGTAGGGAGATTAGAGGCTGTGTGAGTGTGACTAAGATGTCATCCGCAAATAGATTGAGCTTATACTCCCTATCTCCAAGGGTGATGCCCTGTATGGACGGTTCTGCCCTTATTGCCGCTGCTAGTGGTTCCAATGCCAGGATATACAGTAGTGGGGACAGGGAACACCCCTGCCTGGCTATTAAACATTTTTAACCACAAAAGTTCACCTTTGCCTGATTATTGATCTAATCTATATATTATGAAGGTAAAACTGATATCAAATATATTATTTATTCATAAAATATTTACCTTGCAGGAGCCTGCTGTGTGTGATTACAGCTCAATTAACAGAGCAGGAGATAAACACTTCTAAAGTGAGTTAACATCTGATTGAAAATGAAACCTTTTTCCATGCAGTCTGTCAGTCACAGCCAGGGAAGGTGTGGCTAGGGCTGCATAAACTGAAACAAACTTGCCCCACCTTAGCCCCCTTAGAAGGGGTTAAAGCTTTCCAGCGCAGCCGAGTCCGCCGGTGCTGACCCTGCCCCCTTGGTGACATCATCAGAATGTACTTTTTTTTTGTTGCCATTTCAATGATTGGCTGAAATCAGCAAGGGGTGTGGCCAAACACTGACTTGGCCAATCAGCATCTCCTCATTAAAATGCATTGAATCAATGCATCTCTGTGAGGAAACTAAAGCGCATGGAGACGCTGAACGGCGGTGCTGCACACTGTGCAGCACTGCCCCAGGAAGCACCTCCAGTAGCCACCTGAGGAGTGGCCACTAGAGGTGTGCCTAGGGGCAATGTAAACACTGCCTTTTCTCTGCCATTTGCATGAAAATGCCTGCAGGCACTAATTATACTCACCAGAACAACTACATTAAGATGTAGTTCTTATGGTGACTATAGTGTCCATTTAAGCTAAAGTTCATTTGGTGTCTATAGTTTCCCTTCAAAGGGATACTCTAAACACCAACAGTACTACCTCTTAATGTAGTGCTTTTGGTGTATATACCCTGTATATGTATTCTGATTGATGTAAGCAATTTACATTTATCAGACCGTATGCCTTCTGTGACTGTCCATCAGACACTTTTTAGTGAAGATTTTCAATAACTGAAAGTCTTCACATTCAATGTCGTTCTGTCCAGCATGATGATGCAAAATACTGTAAATGATTTTTCTAGAGTGACACTATATACCAGCAATGGGTGACTGTAATAGGCTGAGAGGAGTGTGCTGTTGCCCTTGGTTAGGGGTTGTTAATACTAGTTGAGTGCCTTGTAATAGTCACTAGTGTTATTCAAGACAGCTAAATTTCTAGCAGTGTAAAGTATTTTTTTGCACTGTTAATACGATATCGGCATTGGTACTCACTAACTTTTAGGCTGTTCTATTTGTGTTCTGAAAAATCATTAACTCAATGCTTGTTACTTCCTAGTCTGACGGTTAATATGATGCACTTCAGACATATTTTTCTTTTTTTATTTAAAAATAGGTCTAAATATTCTGTATGTGACAGTACATATAATCTCATAATGCAAGACCACAATGTTGCTGTGATAGTTACTCTCCCATTATATATGTTTGTCAGTGATAAAATATGGTGATAAAATGCAATATTGTCGCATTAATGCCTCTATTCACTGTATTGTTATGAGGGCCTCAATAAAAATTTAATTAAAAAAAGAATGAAAGAAATGAAAGCCTTATGGAAGAGAAGACAATCAGGGTTATTCGCTAAAGTGAGAATTCCAAGTGAATACAAAATTAATGTTAAATTTAGGGCCAAAGTAGCCACACTGGAAGCATAGCTGACTGAATTTTAACAGCCTAAAATGTAAAATTCACTTAGAATTCTCACTTGCCAATAACTGAAGGAGATAATTTTCTGTGTGAATATCAAAACCGATACATATCGACCGATAAATTACCTTATCATATTCAACAAGTAAAAGATGTAGATTTTTTTACTATTTGCCCACCTGTAGCATATGATGTGGCATTTCTTAGCAACAGGGTAACAATAGCTGCCCAGTTGCTAGTTTTTAATCACAGTGAGCAACCATTGACATGTATTATACACCGCTTATACTAATATGGGAGTCATGTTGGACCCTCATAGGTTTTATTTGTTTGTTTTACTAACAGGATTATTCATTAAAGGCTGAAAAAAATAATTTTGATGCACATTTATTGGTGGTTTTATTTCGGTCAGCTGACCCATTTATAGCATTCGGGTGCTTGAATATCAGCTGGCATTAGATAGAGCAATAATTATTAACTGTTATGGGCAAATAGAATTAAATTGAGGCCTAAGTAGGAGACACCACCTTTATAGGTAGGAACAATTCTTGCCATCCGCTCAAGTAAGATGTGCAATTACTGATGCATTCAATTTCAGCAACATTTTTGGAATTTAGTCAAGCCCACAATAGGATTTAAAGGAACACTATATTGTTAGGAATACAAATATGTATTTGTAACTCTATAGTGCCCTAGTCATCTTTTTGGTTACGGGCTCCTACCAGCAGGAAGAAGAAAATGTAATTTACTTTTCTCCTGCTCAGCTAGGCCTAATTCTTTCTGCTCTGCCTCTTTGGCTAAGATCATCAACTCATTGGGAGGCTAGTGTGCATGCACGGCAAAATACCTCACTATCTGATGGTTATATTCCACTATTTCGCAGAAGGTATTCTAGAGGCAAGTAACCCTGCACCCTAGGTGGCCGAAAACATTGCTATTCTTGTAGCATTTGCTATTCCGGCAATGTTTTCAGCTTCAGGGTTAAAATGGGGAAGGTGGTAGGGCACATGACACCCAGACCACTTTATTGAGAAGAAGTAGTATAGGTACCTATAGAGTCCCTTTAATTTTGAAGAGTTACTTCAAGTATCACTTCAGTGATTTGAAGTGACCATGGTGCTTGTAGTCTGTATGTGCAGTATTTCACTATAAAACGCTATACATTAGGGATATAGCCATTTTTTTGCCAAATGTGTAGTCAGAATGGACATCATGCTGGGTACAGGTGACCAATAATGACCAAGGGGACCGCACTCACTTCCAAAAGACCACCAGGAGCTTAACTGAAGTAAGACCAGCAAATTCAAAATAGTGTAGCAGTACAAGAGAAGATCTTCAGACAGTGTTCAAACAGCAAGCTGTTTTATTGCATCAAATGAAAGTGACAGAGCAACTTTTCAACCTTCTACAAGCTCTGTGAGCTTGACAAAGACCTTATGGTCGAAATGCTGCTCTGTCACTTTCGTTTGATCTAATAATGCTTGCTGTTTGAACACTGCGAGTGAATGAAGATCTTCTACAGGTGACTAATGGCAGCACAGACACCTCCTCTCAACACGCCTTTCAACAAGGGGAAGTAACTTCACTGGAGGTGGATTGAGCTAATGGGAGAACTTAGACTTATTGCTGGAATTAAGGTAAGTTAGAGCTTTTTTCCTTTTTTTGTTTTTAGTGGAGTACTAGTTTAGTAGACCACTTACACACCATACACACAGCACCCAACCACCCCAAACAGGCACACTTAACCAAGTTGCAATGGAGCTGTAGTGCACCAGTTAACAGTGCAGCAATGCTTGTGCAAACATGATTTGAGTTTTGGAATGCCCTGCACACAGGGCCGGTGCTTCCTATAGGCAGCTATAGGGGGGGCGCCGGTAGTGGCTTTACTGCTCGTTTGGTTGCCCCCCCTATCGAGCTGTATTAATTATTTTGAGCGGCTGCCGTCCATGCTACCGGGCGGTAGGGGGCACTTACAAGGCTGCTGACTAGCACCCGGCAGAACACTGGTCCGGCGGCGTCCATGATTCACCTCGCTCACAATGCCTGGCCCCCTACCAGACATCCATTGCGGCGGCAGCGCAAGGGCGCAGTATTAACGTGCTCCTGCCCCTTGCCCTGTAAGTGAGGAGAAATGGGTGGGAGCATAGCAGTGGGGCTAAGACAGGGAGAATGATCCGACACCAGGCAACTAGGCGCACTGAAGATGCCTGAAACACATGAACAGCACTAATATGTGAAATGAAGGTAAGAGGGTTAATGTATGTGTTTCAGAGAACAAGTGTCTGTATGGGTCAGTGTGTGTCTGGGTCAGACTGTGTGTCTGTCTGGGTCAGTGTGTGTCTGTATGGGTCAGTGTGTGTCTATATGGGTCAGTGTGTGTCTGTATGGGCAGAGCTGTCTTTAATATCGATTGGACCCTGGGCAAGCGTTTGAGTGGTGAAAGATAGATACCCATCTGTCATAGGTACATCTCCCATTATGCTATGCCAGCTGTGGATCTACCATTTGGCCATCCTTTTAGGGTTGTATTTGGAAGCAGTGTTTGAATGTAAACCTGTTTTTGTATAGAGTAGGTGTGTGCATGTAGAGGTGTATTTGTATGTACTGTTACCATTGGAATGCAGTGGAGTACTTGTATGTAGTGTTGGCTTTTAAATGCAGGTGTGTGTGAGTGAGTAGAGTTGGTGTTTACATATAATGTTAGTATTTTAATACAGGGTGTGTTTGTATTTAATATTTTCATTTGGGGTGTGTTTGGATGTAGTATCTTTTAAATGCAGATGTACATTTGCGTGTAGTATTGGTGTTTGAGTGAAAGGGTGTGTTTTTATATATAATTTTTGAGTTTGAAATCAGGGATGTGTTTGTATGTAATGGATGGATGAATCATATTTTTGATTGCTGGGATGTATGCCTTTACATACTTACACAGATATACATACACATTAACACACATATAAACATACTGACACATACACACTTTGACACAAAGATACACACACCTTGACACAGATACACTCAGATACACGCCTTGACACACAAATACACATACACTCAGACACACACACTAGCATATACACACACTCAGACACACACTGGCACATACACACTCAGATACACACATTGACAC